TCCATCAAGCTAGGGGATCAACCCCAGTTCAGTGAAGAGTGCAGGAAAGCATGCCAGGACCAGCACCAAGCATACCTAAAAACGAGGTGTCAAACTGGTTAAGCTACCAGACAGAACTTTTTGCATGCCAAACAGCATAAGCAGTAAGTGATATACAGAGCTAAATTATTTGACCCAGTGACAGTGAAGGAATGGCAATATATTGCCAAGTCATGATGGGGAGTGGCTTGGAGGGGAATTTGAAGGTGGTGGTGTTCCCATATACCTGTAGCCCTTGTCCTTCTGAATGGAAGTGGTCATGGGTCTGGAAGGGGCTGTCTGGGGATTTTTGGTGAATTGCTGCATTGCATCTGGTAGATGGCACATACTGCTACGACTGAGTGTCGGTGGTGGAGAGAGTGGCTGCTTGTGGATGTAGTATCAATCAAAGCAAGTTCTACTTTGTCCTGAATAGTGTCAAGGCTCTGGAGTGTTACTGGAGCTACACTCTTCCAGGCACATGGGAAGTACTCCATCACACTCCTTACTTGTGCCTTGTAGATAGTGGATAGACTATGGGGAGTCAGGAGATGAATTACTTGCCACAATATTCCTAAGCTTCTGACCTGCTCTTGTAGCCATTGTGTTTGTGTGGTGGGTCCAGTTGAGTTTCTGATCAATTATAACCCACAGGATGTTGATGGTGGGGGATTCAATGATGGTAACACCATTGAATGTCAAGGGGTGGCGATTACATTGTCTCTTATTAATGATGGTCATAGCCTGGCATTTACATGGTGTAAATGTTACTTGCCCTTCATCAGCCCAAGCCTGGATGTTTTCCAGATTTGTTGCATTTGAATATACTGAATATTGATGATTGCATCACTTATGAAGCAGCTAATGGTTGAGCCTAGGACACTACCATGAGGAACTCCTACACAGGGGTTGTGGAGCTGAGATGATTGACTTTCAACAACCACAACCAATTTTCCTTTGTGTTAGGTATGACTCTAACCACCAGAGTTTGACCCTGATACCCATTGATTCCAATTTTGCTAGGGCTCCTTGATGCCACACGTCAAACGCAGCGTTGACATCAAGGGCTGTCACACTCATCTCACTTCTAGAATTCAGCAGTTTTGTCCATGTTTGAACCAAGGCTATAATGAAGTCTGTAATGGAGTCATGAATGGTAGTGGACAATTAAACAACTCACTGGAGGAGAAGGCACCACAAATATCCCCATCCTCGATGATGGAAGAGCCCAACATTTCAGTGCAAAAGAGAGAGTTGAAGCATTCGCAGCAATCTTCTGCCAGAAATGCCAAATAGATGATCCATCTCAGCTTCCACTGGTCCCCAACATTAGACGCCAATTCAATTCATTCCATATGATATCAAGAAATAGTTGGAGGTACTGGATAATGCAAAGGCTATTAACCTTGACAATGTTCAGGCAACAGTACTGAAGACTTATACCCTCCCTAGCCAAGCTGTCCCTGTACAGTTACAGCACTGGCATCTACATGACAATGTGGTAAATTGCCCAGGTGTCTCCTGGATATATAAAGGAAGGATAATTTCAACCCTGCCAATTACTGCCATATCACTGCACTCTCGATCATCAGTAAAGCGACGGAAGGTATCCTCAACAGTGCTAGCAGGCAGTACCTGCTTAGCAGGAACCTACTTCCTGATGCCCAGGTTGGGATCTGCCAGGGCCACTCAGCTCCTGACCTCATTACAACCTTGAATTCCAGAGATAAGGTGAGAGTGATAACCGTTAACATCAAAACTGTATTCGACTGAGCGTAGCATCAAGGAACCTGGTAAAACTGGAATCAAGGTTGGAGTCATAGGAAGATTATTGTGGTTGTTGGTCATCTCAGCAGGGACTCCTCAGTGTAGTGTCCTAGGCCCAATCATTTTCAGCTGCTCCATCAATGACCCACCCATCAACATTTGGTCAGAAGTGGGCATGTTCAGGGATGCTTGCACAATGTTCAACACCATTAGTGACTCCTATATAAGGAAGCAACCCATATTCAAATGCAACAAGATTTGGGCTAACAAGTCACAAGTAACATTCATGCCAGACAAAAGCCAGGAAATGACCATTACAAACAAAACAATCTAAACACCATCCCTTGACATTGAATTGCATTACCATCAATGAATCGCCCACTAACAGCATCTGGGAGAGTTTACCATTGACCAAAAGCTCAATGGGACTTACCATATAAACAGAGGCTACAAATGCAGGTCAGAGACTAGGAATACTGCAGCCGTACTCCTCCAACATCCAGAAGACACAAGTCAGGAGTGTGATGGAATACTCCCAGCTTGCCTGGATGAGGTGCCAGACCCCCTCCACCACCAATGCTCAGTAACAGCAGTGTGTACTATCTACAAGATCTACTGCAGGCTTTTGGCAAAGATTCTTAGACAGCACATTCTAAATCCACAATCACTTACACCTTGGACAATGGCAGCAGCAAATTGGGATCACCACCACCTCCAAGCTCTCCGCAAAGCCACTCACCATCCTGACTTGGAAATATATTGTTGTTCCTTCACCATCACTGGGTCAAAATCCTGGAATTATCTCCCCAAGAATAGTTTAGGTCTACTTACAGGTAGTGGAATTTAGCAGTTCAAGGCAGTTCACCACCATCTTCAAGGGCAATTAGGGATGACTAATAAATGCTGGCCAGCCAGCAACACCCAATGAGTGGAAACAAAATGACATCAGTTAAGGTGATCTTCGATCAGTTGTATTTAGGACTCTGACTTTTAGCTTCCAATTTCCTAGACATGTATTGAAATGTGTAAGGTTATCAATTTGAACTGGAAATTATTATGTCACTAGGTTAAAGTCCTAATAAGCATTACGAGTGTACATGTCCACATCACAGGGGAGGCAACTCACGACCATTTTAGAGGGCAATTACGGATGGGACATAAATTGCCTTGTCAGTGATACCTGCATCCCAAAGAAAGAAACAAAAAAATTAGGATATTGTTATTTAAGTTTCCTGGGATAGTGACCTAGGCCCAAGCATCTGAAGTTTCTTCAATGACCTTCCATCCATTTTAAGGCTGTTCACTGATGAAGGCACAATGTTCAGAATCATCCCAAATCCTCAAACTTCAGATCCTCAAATCCCCACATGCAGAAAGGCTTGGACATCATTCAAGCTTATATTAAATTCTAAGTATAATTCATGACCATGTGCCAAATACTATTGCTGGAAAGAGAATCCAACCATCTTCCCATGACATTCAATGGCATCACCAATGATTTCATGGGGTGGGAACGGGGAGAGGAGAGGTACCATAGACCAGAAAAGACCAAATCGGGAACTGGGAAATCTGCAAGAGCCTGCCTCTCATCTCCCAAGCCTATGCATAATTTCCAAAGACACGTCAGGAACATGACACTGGCTCAAACAATACTGAAGACTGGGGCACCATCTATATTATAGCATACCACTCGACTATGTCACCTTAAATTATTCACCCACTACAACCAGCATAGTGTCAACAGTCTAAATCACCTACAAACTGCACTGCAGCAACTCACCAAGCCTCCAAAGTCATGACCAAGGGCTCATTTTCATAAGTGTCACTTTAGAAGTATTAAGTTGCACACAAAGCCACAAACCATGCTGACTTTGAACTGTATTGCCATTCCTTAACTGTAACGGGACCCAAACCTTTGTAATAACACTGACTGTGCTTATACCACGTGGACTGCAGTGGTTCAAGGACGTAGGTCACTAACACCCTCTCAAGGCCATTAAGGATAAGATACAAATTCTGGCCTTCTTGTAACACTTATATCGCACAAAAAATAAACTCACCCAAAGGAAAGATGATATTATTGGTAACTGAAAACTAGGAAGGTCTTAAATTTGAAAGAAAAAAAATCCCAGATTTCTTAAACACCGTTGACACATCTTGCAATCAGTCTAGATTGGAAAATGTACTTTTACTGAATTTGGATGGAACTTAAGTCACTGGGCCACGGCTTCATATCAGTATTACTTCTAAAGGTTGTTCAATTACTCTGCTCCTTACAAACCTCAGGCCATCTCAAATTGCTTCGATAAAGTTGTTCACTGTTAGAAGGTACGCCAAATGAGATCAGTTATGCATAGCAAGATCCCACAAAACGATGAGGAGATGAATAACATATTGAAGAGGTTAGCTCAGATTTAAAAATTGGCCAGGACCCAAAAAAACACGTTCCTTTTTGAATAGTGCAATGGATCTTTCACCCAAAGGCAGATCAGTCTCTGACTAAATCTGAAGTAATGCAGTACTTAGCACATCAGAATGTCACACTCTGGATCTTGCGTCTAACTGAACAGGAGTCTGTGCAGAGATCATTTATAAAGTTTCAACATTATAATCAATTTGTGAATCACAAAGCTTTACTTGGATGAAAGTATTTTTCAAATGAAATTGATGTTACCAATAGAATGCTGTAACATCACAAATAATTTATGGGGATACTCGATTTCTCTTAAGCCAAAAGGGTGCATCAACATTAATTAAAACAAATCAAGAAACAGTAGGTCCCTGTTGCTAATGCGCTACAAACAGATATCATTTGCTCCACAAAAATAGCCATTGTAGTTGAAATGGGGATCAGTTCATGCTTCAACTCAACTTCAGTGGCTAGCCAACATGATCAAGATGAAGCAAGTTTACACATTCATGACCTTTTAAGCGATAGAAATGATCCCCCATAACCTTTTACTTAAAAGCCAAATGATACCCCATCTGGATTTACACATCGTCTTTTTAAGGAGTGAAATATAATATTTCAAAATGCACTCTACACAAACCCAATGAATTGACAGAGACCCATACTAACAAGGCAGTCGTTATTTACATATGTGAAATGCAGTCGACACAATCGAATGATGAAACACCAAAGGATGCCATAATTCTTGAAGGTCACTTTGTTTACATGATATATCCAACGCAACAGAAAAAAAAACAGGCTGTAAAAAAATTAAAAATTGTTTTCTTTTAATATATAAAAGTGGTTGAAAGTTCCTCTCTGATGTAGCATTCACAGGGCAGTGCAGCTTCTCGACTTCATCTTTTTGATATCTATGGCGATGTTGACAGTCATTTGGAGTGAATGCAGGTATACAAAGGAATTGAAAAGGAAACTGAAATCCCTTTGAAGTCCAACATTGCCTTAATGTTTACAAATACATATCGCTCAAAAATGTTAATGTTCTCTTGATTTTTGTTTTTAAAAATTGAAACATTGAAAAAATTCCAGAGCCCCAAATGTTTTGCCACCTCATCTCAACACGAAAGGATGGCTGGAACAAAAGTGACTACTATCACTATGACCTGATATTTTCCATCTTCAAGCAGAGACAAGTGGCATTCTTTTGAAGCAAACCTCGGTGTGTTGATGCATATTTTATCCCACACTCCTTTCTTTTAAAAAAAAAGTTATTTTTGAAAAAAAAAAGTCCTCATTTCTGATTCCTGCAACATTTAAGAACTATCTAATTTGGCTTCTTAAGTATTTTGTGTTTCTTTGTGGAGTGAAACAAAGTATTTCCTGTATCAAAGACCCCATGAGAAAAAAGGAATGGACATTTCCAGACATCAAAATCCCCTCACAACAATAAACTCAATAGACAGCCACTTCTTTTTGTCTCCAAGTGCCAGTGTGCTACAATGTAGGGTTCCTGGACTGACTGCTGCTAATGGATGTGTGCTTTACACACGGTAACCTAGGGCGTAAACTAAGGCTACATTGTACAATACTCCAGATTTATTTTTATACAATTTCCAGCAACCGCTTGCTCTTTTTTAAAAAAGGTTCTCAAGGTTCATTAATTACATAATGATGTCAGGCCTCAGTTGACTCCAAACAACCCCTTCCCCAACCATTTCCTTGGATGTGCCATGTTATTCGTTTCTCGCTTTCTTCCCATTTTCTTTTTCCTCATCTGTTGAGTTGGGACGTTTTCGCTTGCTGCAGTCAGCCTGGATTTTCACAGGCCGTGGTTTAAAAGTGATGATAATACATGTCATATTGTCACATCCAGTACCATCTCCTGATGTGTCAGGTGCCAAACACTGGTCTAGGAGCTATAAATAAATAAAGGTAAAAGGGTGGCAAATTTATGAAGACAGTGCACACAAAACCAAAGTTAAAGATCTCCTATGGAGAACAAAATTGTAATTACCTCACTGCATCACTACTATCATTTTTATTCACGAACCCTTTTAATTTTCATTGCACTTTAATGCTCATTTGAATGAGAGTAGATTGCACTGAAATGCACTAAACTCTTAGAGGAGGAGGGAGGGCTAGATAGATTAGAAGCTGGTGCTACCCCAGTTGGAAGTCTAGAACTAAGGTCATAGTCTCAGCATAAGGGATTTGCCTTTAGGAATGTGTGAGAATAAATTACTTTACCAAGGTTTGGGAATTTTTGGCATTTTCAACCCAAGGCAATGAATGTTCAACTGTTGAGCATATTCAAGATTGATAGCAATAGAATTTAGCACTTAGTAGAAAGTGGTTCTGAAGTCAAAGATCAAGCCTAAGTTAATTGAAGACAGAGTATGCATGACTGGTCATATCACTTTTCTCTCCTCCTATCATGTCTTCTGTCTAAGGTGGCTGAAAAGATCAGCAATCAGAAGGAAATGTAATTATCAAAATGCTTAACAGCCTACATAATGAACCACATTCTGTGTAAACATATTTTTACTGAGTTTCTTGTTGGATCTAGTGATTAGTGAAGTTATATTTATGGCTTGTACGTTTGAATACATTCCCCTACCATCAACCCATGCTAATATTCTTGAGTAGATTTGTAGCTCGGGTTGTGGATGCTGCAGTTGGTTCGCTCGCCGAGCTGGTTCATTAGTTTGCAGACGTTTCATTAACCTGCTAGTGCAGCCTCTGATGAAGTGTTGTTGTATTTTCCTGCCTGCTATTTAAACGCTGGGGTCCATTGCAGTTCATTACTTCATTTGTGTTTTTTCTTTGCAGTGGTGTGTATATGGGGTCTAATTCTATGTGTTTATTGATGGCCTTCTTGGTGGAGAACCAAGCCTCTAGGAATTCCTGTGCCTGGCTTTGTTTGGCTTGCTGTAGGATCCTGATGTTGTCCCAATCGAACTGGTGGTCCTCCTGGCCTATATGTATGGAGGTGAGCTCTCCAATGGACCCCAGAGTTTAAATAGCAAATGGGAAAATACAACAACGCTTCAACGGAGACTGCACAGATGTTACCAAGCAGGATAATGAAACGTCTGCAAACTAATGAACCAGCTCAGCGAGCAAACCAACCGCAACATCAACCCATGCTATTTAAGAACAAAGGATTTTCAGTCTCTTCATATCTCATTAGTGCAATAACAACTTGCATCTAAATAGTGTCTCAAGCGTAGTAATTTATCCCATGGTGCTTCGCAGGAACATGTTAAACAAAATTTGACTTCAAACCACAAATGAAAATATGATAGCAGAAGATCAAAAGACTTGGTTAAAGCAAGAGATTTAAGGAGCATCTCAAAGGAGGAAAAACAGAAGTGAATCAACAAAGAGGATCAGACAGGAAACAAATTTCTTGGAAAATGCGGACTCAAAAATATTCCACACAAGGTGGAGCTGGAGAAACACAGCAGGTCAGGCAGCATCACAGGAACAGAAAAGTCAATGTTTCGGGTTGAGACCCTACATTAGGACCGGAAACGTTAACTTTCTTGTTCTTCTAATGCTACCTAACCTGCTGTGTTCCTCCAGCTCCGCACTGTATCGACTGACTTCTAGCATCTGCAGTTCTTGTTATCTCCTCAAAAATATTCATCAATTCCCCATGTTCTATCCTCATCTGTTGCCTTCCAGACACCCATCAAGGACAGCAATTCAAAAACCATATCTCATGGAGTATTTGATCATTTTGACTTATTTATATAACCTTAAATCCTCTGATCAAATATGTATTCAGCTTTTCTATGTAAAAGGAGTTAATCAGCCTCCTTTTGAGAGTCTGGTCCACATGTACATCTCTCTGCAAGAAGAGCAATTTCTTTGAATTTCAAGCTCATTTAGTAAATGAGGATACTAAGGTCAACATTTTAAGAGCATATTCTCAAATAAATATTACTGTTTTCTTGTCACAAATAATAGATCATTTTGAACAGCCCAGACCAGAGGGAGTCTCTATTCAGGGAAAGTAGAATTATAATTTCTGCATGGTTTGGTGCAGCAGGATTTTTCTCCTGGCAAGATTTGTCAACTACCCTTTTCCTTTACAAGTACAGTAGCTGTACCTACCTCTTCAGATATGGAGGACAGCAACCTCAAGTCTCCATTCTCATCAGTTTTGTTGATGCGTTCACTGATGAAATCGACTACTTCCTGGCTGCTCATTACATTCCTGAAAAGACAGACAAATGACTGAAAATGCAAGGCCCATTTCTACGTGTTCTCTAGAATCCCTCCCAAATCAGAGGTAAACATTGTTTGAACAGCAAAACTGTGCACAATGATTCTGTGTAGCTGAAATTTAAATATAAAATAGATTAAGGCAGTTAGCCTTGCTTTCTTTTGAGGAATACTCTGCCTCAAGATTATTCACCAGAAAAGAGTGTTGAAAGTCACCCAGGCTTCATAAAAGTTAAGAAGCAGGGAACGAGCTTATCTGACCCTTTTCTGTTTGTATAGATCACTTTGAGATCTCAGAATATGTGTGCTCTGTTCTAAGAAAGAATGTTGGCAGAAAATAATAGTCGTGCGCTGAAGCTGTAGAAAATTCCGACTTGGATGATTGACTTCAGTTCCACTTTAGATTTAAAAAAAAACTCAAAGATACTTTGTGCAAACCAGTACCTGCTGATAAATTAGATATTAAGAAGCACACTAAGTTGTGATGTGGAGGTGCCGGTGTTGGACTGAGGAGGACAAGATCAGAAATCACACGACACCAGGTTATAGTCCAGCAGGTTTATTTGAAAACACAAGCTTTTGGAGCCTCGCTCCTTCTTCAGGTGTTTAGGAGGAGCGAGGCTCCGAAAGCTCATTTTCATAAAAACTTGCTGCGAATAGAAGCTGGTGTTGTGCGATTGCTGGCCTTGTCCACAGTAAGTCAAACATGCTATATATGTTATTTGGTACTGAGGTACTAATGTCAGCTGGAAAACTAAACTCTTCCAGCTTGAGATCCTGGTGTTATGTGCACTTCCAAATAACGAGCAGCATTCAATGTAGCTTGCAAACAATCCCCTTTCTTTCAGTGCATGGAAATGTCTCACCACTGAGCTGGGGTTCAAAACTTAGTTAGAAAATAATAAACAAACAGAAATTTGGTCAATTGAACATTGCTTTTTTAAAAAAAAATTGAATATATTTTTCTAATCAACTTGTTCAGAGATGTTGTTACTCACTTCTGAAGTGGGTGGGACTTGAATCGAGGTTTCTATGGTCCAGGGGTAAGTGACACTACCACTGCACGACAAGAGGGCCCAAAATTGCTGATTTAAATGAGTAGAGCACACTGCTTTCAGTTGTTCAACCAAGAGTTAAAACATTGACTCATTTTGCATCAGTGGCTCGGTGATGTAGAAGTCCCACTGAAGAAATCAGATTTGCTTGTCAAGTAAAACAGGAAAATTTAGTTTTCACTGGCTCAGTAATTAACAAACCTGTGTTTCAAGTAAAAACCTGCCCTGGATCAACTGGTACGTCTCCTTATTCAAGGTAAATTACTTGAAAGGTTTCTTTTTGTGCTTCCAAAAAATTCTCACAAAATTGCTAAATAGGACTTTAATGTAAGCTCATCTGCAATATAATTTTTATAAAAAGATTGGTTCTCAGACCCAAGAGACAGGACCAGAAGCTATGACAATTTGGCTGCATTTGTAGAATCTCACAATATGGAAACAGGCCATTTAGCCCAACCAGTCCATACAGACCTTGTGAAGGGCATCCCACCCAGACCCATCCCCTAACCTATTCCTGCATTTTCCATGGCTAAGGCACCTAACCTACACATCCCTGAACACTATGGACAATTTGGCATGGCCAATCTACCTAACTTGCACATCTTTGGAGTGTGGGAAGAAACCAGAGCACCCAACAGAAACCACGCAGACACGGGGACAATGTGTAAACTCCACACAGACAGTCACCTAAAGGTGGAATCAAACCTGGGACACTGGTGCTGTGAGGCAGCAGTGCTAACCACTGAGCCACTGTACCGCCCAATGATGCATTCTTTTGAGTGTGGCATATAGGATTTAGCATACAGGAGCCCAGAGTGTGTTGATAGCAGGAATGGAGCTTGACAGGACACCAGAATTACTTTTCATTCTGTTCGATAAAATGTGGAGGAACGTGAAAGTCCAGCTTAACGGGCATCTGAGATTCAAACTCTTACTTAATGACTGACAATATTGTTAATCTGATACAGGCAGTACCTGGGTTATGAACTCTTGTTTCTGTGTAAATCGAGTTGTATGCAAATCAGAACGCAATGCAGCACAATATTAAAATATCCGTTTGTATGTATGATCAAAAGTTCATGTCAAATCCTTAAGATTAATAGCAGCATATCTCGGTCGCAAGTATAAGCATTTATAAATTGGATGTTTGTAAGTCAGGGACCATCTGTACATGCAATATTATACTGGAGTGTCAGCCAAGATTTGTGCTTAAAATTAAGAGTGAAACTTCCAACCATAATCTTCTGACTCATAAGTGTTACCAACTAAGATAAGCTGAAATCAGATCATGAATAGGGTCAATGCAAATCATAGGTTCATTCTATTTTCATTTTCCAGCAGGGCCATTGGACAGCAGTCAGGAATCCTGAAAATTTCACTACATTACCTATCTCAATGGTAATGAGTTAATTGTGACACAATCGCAGATCGATTAATTCAGTATGGATTTTGGTTGAATCAAGGAGATTAAGATCAATATGACTTTGTATTATATTATCTAACTAACCATTGGGTGATCAGGAACTGATTTCTATGATTAAGCCCATTTATGCGCTACTAATAGCTATTGTTATTACTGTTGGAGCACTGCCTGGCTTCTATTAACAATTAGTAATGACAGAGTTATTACTGCAAGTTTAGAAAAAGTAAAGTACTGAAATACAATAAAAACAGTTATCCAGCACATACATCACTTAATGGAAGGAATATGACTTGGATAGTTGAGTGTTGTCAGTATTTAACTGGATGGGTATCAAAACAAATTTGAAATAAAGAAAACACAATTGACTAAGAGCCACAAAAACAAATGATCGTAGATATTTTCTAATCATCCCATTCAAAGTTGTTATTTCACACCCTGTTGGAGTGTGTGGAACTTGAACAGATTTCCCAGCCCATAATAAGGGTCACTATCACTGCACCACAAGGGCCAAACCTGTATATTGTTATAGATTTTTCTAATCAGACCTGTTCAGGCATGTTATTACACATCCCTGGAGCAAGAAGGATTTGAACCTGGGCCTCCTGGCTCAGAGGTAAGGACACTACCACTGCACCACAAGAACTCTTATAAAGTGATCACAGATAGAACAGTTTAGCTGCCTTCAGCTGTGACAGTCCTAAGCCTCTCAATGTCCAGTTAAATCTCATCTTGACATCCATGACAGTGTTCAGCATACAGTTATCTTTGATACGGCTACAGGCTAGAAGCACTTATTCATCATGTGGGATGTGGGATGTGTGCACAGGTTAACGGTATATTGGATATTTCAGTTTGTGGAATATTCTGGTTTGTAATGCACTGAATAATGCTAACTTTATTTATCATGCAGAAAGAAGAATTAGGTAAACTTTAGTTTCTGCCAGAAGGGGAGGCAGCAATTCAATAACCTAGAGGTGGGCAAGGCCCCATTGCACGTAACAGAACAGTAACCTGTAAAAGGTGGTGGCAGCATATTTCAATTAAAGGCAAAATACTGCAAATGCTGGAAATTTGAAAAAATACTTCAGAAATTCAGGAGGTCTGGCAGCATCAGCGAAGAGAGAAACAATTAACTTACCAGACTTGAAACTTAATTGTTTCTTTCCACAGATGCTGTCACATCCCCAGCATGCTGCTTGTACCTTATTTCAATTGTTCATTCAAAACTTAAAACATACAACGATGGAGAGGTGAAGAAGTCAAGAGAAGCATACATCAACAACTAAGAGAGATATGACTGAAAGTTCTTACTGCCTATAACAGAATAAATAAATTTGAACAGAAAGGTCATAGAGCTGATAGTGTAGATTGGTCCAGGTGACCATGGAGGGATTTGACAGTGATTAATATTTTAAACTTAAGTATGAAGAACAGAGATCTAGTGAAGGCTTGTAAAGACCTTTGTGGCAGAAATTTGGAGGAGTTGAAATTTTTGAAGTGTGGAGGAGAGCAGCAAGAAGAGTAGAACTGTTGAATTTCAAAATGAAACAGGTGTGTATAAGGATTATAGGTGCTGAGTATGCACTGGGGTGAAATTGGGCAATGTTACACAGGTGGGAGCAAGCAATTTGATGATGAGGATATGCTAATTACATCTCAGCAACATGCATTATAAAGCATCTTGAATATAGCAGAATGGCCCAAGACATTGAAAGCTTTCTAAAACAAAGGATATACTGGGAGCAATCAAAAGCTTGGTCAAAGTCTACTTCAGAGAGGATTTTAAATGACCTTCCTACAGCTAGTACCAACAAATGAGAGAACTTGGAGCTTCAATAAACTCAAATCTATAATTACTTACCATATACCGTCACATGCAATTACCATAAAGTCATGGTCATCATTTAATGTCAACACCTTGAGGTCAGGTAGTGCTGAGATCATCTGTTCCTCTGGAGGAAGGTTCTTATTCCTCTTGTAGAAATGATCACCTGTAACAACAATCACAAAGCATAGTGAACAACACTTGTTAATTTCTGAGAGATGATTTCAGGCCCAGTATGAATTAAATTTCCTTAACGTTCCTTTTAGGAGGAGACATTTTCTCATCAACAGCAGTGTCACTAATTGCAAGCAAGACATTAAGCCACCCAGCAAGTTTTAAATTATAAAGATTTTAACATGCAGGAAATGCATCTCTCTGAACATAAAAGGTTCCAGAAATAAAGATTTACAGCCCAAGAGGCAAATTCTCCATGCTGATTAGAAAATACGAAGCCAGTGTTTCTTTAATGAACAAGCTCAAAGCCATTCATCTATTCATTGAAACTCAGTTGATCACACACTGTTTCAGCACATAGCTTATTAAATAGGGCATGCAACTTTAAAAAAAAAACCATAAGCAGGAGAAGAATTTTCAACTCAATTTTAGACTGGTGGTGGTGGTTGGGGGATGGAATTAATGCAGAACAATTCAAAAATTAACAGGAAATTTCAATTACATTGAGTTTTGCTGTACTTTTTAATGTCAGAGATTTTGAAAAAGCTCTTTACTCTTTTATGATGCATTTGCCCGGCCCTAATATTTACAGACTCTAACCAAAACTACTTATATGCGTGTAAGGTCAGCTGTGATCAACAGACTGAGACAATTTTGATGGTATGGCCTGCCTTCTCCAAGTCAGAGCTTTAAAAGTGGGCTAAGAATTGTATTGGTAGATTTCTCAACAGATGAATAAAATCCTTATTTCTAAGTCTGTAACCTGGCACAGAAACAGTAATTTCTACACCAAGATGATGTACAGAACGAGAAGCATAGAAACTTAAGTTTGTAAGTTTAACTTAAAAGGCTTTCAAGGTATTATACAGCAAGACAATGTTTCTGAGTCAATATAAAGCTTGGAACAACAAATCTGTTAGGAGAATCAAGCCGGTTACCTATTGCTCTAGAAAGGTTCAAACCTCCATTGACTCTCCCATCCAAAGTAACCTTTCCACCAGCATTCTTGATCCTGGCCAGTTCCACTTCATCTTCTGGTTTGTGATCATAAGACATGTCAATTGCCTTGCCACTCTCTGAAACAACACACCGGGAATCGCCAGCATTCGCCACTATCAGTTGCTTCCCACGGATCAGGGCCACAACAGCAGTCGTGCCGCTGTCAGAGCCAGGCTAGGGATCAAAAATGATTCAAAGAATAAGGTTTTAACCACCTTTGCATCATAAATAAAGCAGCATTCATGTTTTGGGCAGGCTTGTTTTGAAGTGTATACTGGTTCTTAACATATGATTTGATGGAAGATTTCATATTGTGAACAATAAAGTTAGCGGTTTGGCATATGTAAGGGGTATTGAATAAGGCTCTGTATTTTACAACCAGAATTAGTTATACATCATGCAACAATGCCACATGTTACTGCAGTAGCATGACAAAAGCACGAGAAAGTAATCTCAAATAAAAAGCACTTGCTCTGGACTCGATGTTACTTAGGAATGTCCATTTAAATGTAATATGCACTGTTTTCAATAGTTCTTTGGCATTTAGTACAACAGCATTTCACAACAGGAAGTTTAGTGTCACTGATGAGTATCTTAATTGTATATAAACTTGCTTGTATGATGTCATAATTGGATTAAATAATTTAACAGATTTCTGGTATCTGAACCAAGATAAATGCTTGAAGTGCAACTGTACAATGTGTAGCTAAATTAGCATTAGGTTTGGCACAGTAGTGATGACCTCAATGCAAGTCACCTCCCTAGCACTAAAATTGTTTGTTTAAACTTGGTTCCAAATATCACAAAAAATTACTCATCGGCCAAAGGCACTCAAAGTAGCATGTTTGCCGAGTCATGCTCTGCAAGGCCAATGACTTCTAAAGTGGCAAGGCGTCACTGCTGACAGGGGACACAATTTTCCTACTTTGTTGTCATGCAATACCATAACATAAAAACAGTTTATTAATACACATTTAAGTGCTTGAAATTCATCACAGTGAAATTCAGACTGGCACATTAAGCATGTTCATTTCTCATTTACAGATAATATCTTCAAGACCAGGCCTACCTCCTCTTTACCATCCATTCCTGGCAACATAATATCATCTTCCTCTTCTGCTTCATCACTGTCATCTTGCTCTTCCTCTTCTTCCTCCTCCTCTTCCTCCTCCTCCTCCTCCTCCTCTTCATCACTGCTGTATTCTTCCTCTTCACTGCAATCCTGCCATTGAAAATTTTAACAAAGTACAAGACACTTGGTAACTTGAAGCTCTTTGTCCATAGTATAGGAATTATTCACCAATAATGCAGTGATGGAATTTCAATCAAAAATTAAATATAAACATACGAAGAAGAAAATACCTGCATACATCTTGAAACTTTAATGACCAGCAGAGCCCACAAAGTACTCTTCAGTTGCAAGAATATAGGAAAAATAGCAGCTAATTTGCACACAGCAAGATTCCACAAACAGCAACTTAATAGCAAACAGATAATCAACATTTGAGTTATTTATCTATTGAGGGCATAGATTGACTAGGACATTGAAGTAACTCCTCTACTCTTCCTTAAAATAATATTTTGGAATCTTAAAACCCGCTGAGGGCAGACTGGGCTCAGGGATTTGGTTTAATAGTTAAGTCATCTCTCAGTAGTGCACTGGAGTCTTGGCATGGATTTTTATGCTCAGTTGCAAGACAGTAGCTATAAACTGATTTATTTGGTTGGGCTGAATTCAAAATGTGAGACAGGTTGAACTGTCATGAATTCAGGTTAATAATTCAACAGTAACAGGCTTGTAACATTACTAAAATGAAGGGAAAAAAGCTCTAGCTGACGCAGACAGAATCAGAGTTGTACAGCATAGAAACAGACCCTTCAATTCATCTAATCCATACCAAATCAGATATCTTAAATTACTCTAGTCTAAATTACCAGCATTTGGCCCATTTCCCTCTAAATCCTTCCTATTCATGTATGCATCCAGATGCTTTTTAAATGTTGTAATTGTACCAGTCTCCACCACTTTCCACCACATCAATTCATAGAATCCCTACAGTGTGGAAACAGGCCATTTGGCCCAACAAGTCCACACTGCCTCTCCGAAAAGCAGACACATCTCCCCACCCTTTCCCTGCAACCCTGCACTTCCCATGTCTAATCCACCCAATTTACACACCCCTGGACACCACAGGCAATTTAACATGGCCAATCCACCAAACCTGCAGCTTTGGACTGTGGGAGGAAACCGGAGCACCCGGCGGAAACCCACGCTGACCGTCGCCCCAAGGTGGAATTGAACCCGGGTCCCTGGTGCTGAGAGGCAGCAGTGCCAACCACTAAGCCATCGTTCTGTCCTTAATTTGGTATAAGCATTTCAAATTATTTCCAGGAAAGAAATGAGGTTTGGATCTACTAAGCAATGTAATATAAACAAAAGCAGTAACAATATCAAGTTGTAGGGGTGGGGTGATGTAGTACTCACAGTAACCTATAATATGCTAACAAGACTAGACACTGTAAATGCAGGAACGATGTTCCCAATCACTGGGCAGTTCAGAACCAGAAGTCACAGTCGAAGGATGTAGGGTAGCCCATTTAGGACCGAGATGACGAGAAATTTCTTCATCTACAGAACGATAAGCTTATGGAATTCTCTACCAAAGAAAGCAGTTGAGGCCAAAATATTGAATGCTTTCAAAAAGAAGAAGTTGGATGTAGCTCTCAGGGTTAAAGGGATCAAAGGGGATGGGCAGAAAGCAGGAACAGGGTACTGAGTCAGATGATAAGTCATGATCACACTGAATAGCAGAGCAGTCTTGAAAGGCCAAATGGCCTGCTCTTATTTGTTATATGTCTGAATACGAAGTGGATCCAATTTTGAGAGAACCTCCTAACATGTCACGAGTTCTTCCTAATCTCAATCTCCTGCTCATATTTTATATTACCTAGTAAGTAAATAAATCCCTTTAAAAAGTGATGTACAGAATCTCGATTCATGAGATCATATGATATAGGAGCAGAATAAGACCATTTAGCCCAACGAGTCTGTGCTGCCATTTGATAATGCTTTTCAACCCCATTCTCCTGTTTTCTCCTCGTAATTCTTAATCCCCTTAATAATCAAAAACCAACCTATCCCTCAAATGCTCATTATATGACAAGCCCTTCACCCTCAGGATCATTCTTGTAAACCTCCTCTGGACCCTCTCAAACGCCAGCACACCCTTCAAAACAGGGTACAAAACTGATCCATTTTCCAAATTCAACTGGTTACGGTTGACAACTCCACAGACCTAAGAACCTTAAGCTGCATATTACCAATCAATGTCATTAAATGCACTATTTACCTTAACATAACTCAAAACTTTTATCAAGTCATCTTTAGTCACATCACCTTAAATGAAAGAAGTCCAAGCTTCTCAAGTCACTGCATAAATAATTTCACATCCTTAATAGCATCAAGTTTTTGACTGGTTTATAACTATTATTACTGTGTGATGGAATACTCCCCACTTGCCCGGATAAGTGCAGCTCCAACAACAAAACTAAAGAAACTTCACACTATCAAGGGCAAGGCAGCCTGTGTGACAAGCACCACATCCACAAACAATCATTGCCTCCACCACTGACGCTCAGTAGCAACAGTGTGTACCATCTACAAGATACAGTGCAGTAATTCAACAGGGCTGTTGTGGTGTAGTGATACCTTTGAGCCAAGAGGTCCAGGCTCAGGTCTCACTTGTTACACATGTTGCTTAACATGCTTGAACAGTTTGATTTAAAATATCTAAGCCAGAACCCCCTAGTTATGAACTCAGGAAACATTGTTTTTACATGCACCTTGTAAATATCATTCACCCTATTAGCCTTTTTGGGTAACATTTTGTACTTGCATACTAATTTCTTGTGGCTCCTTCTTCAGAGTACCTAAATCCCTTGCACCTCTGAACTTTGCAAGTGTTCACTCCCTTCTACCTTTTACAGTTAACACTGCTACAGTCATAGTCATACAGCCTGGAAACACACCCTTTGGTCCAACTCATCCATGCTGACCAAAGTTTCCCAAACTAAACAAGTCCCATTTGCCTGTGATCCACCATAATCCTTCTAAACCTTTCCTACACATGTACCTGTCCACATCTTTTAAATGTGGTAACTGTATCTGCATCTACCACTTCCTATAGCAGTTCCTTTCATATACGAAGTACCCTTTAAAAAAAGTTGCCGCTTGGGTCCCTTTTAAATCTTTCCCCTCTCACCTCAAATCTATGCCCTCTAGTTTTGGACTCCCCTATCCTGGAGAAAGACCTTAGATATTCACCTTATTTATGGTCCTCATGATTTTATAAACCTCTAACATCACCCCTCAACTTCCTATGCTTCACTGAAAAATGTGCCAGCTTATCCAGCCTCTCCTTATAACTCAAACCCTCCAGTCCTAGTAACACCCTTGTAAATCTTTTTTGTACCCCCACCAATTTAATAACAGCCTTCCTATAGCAGGGCTACCAGAACTGTAGACAGAAGCAAAATGTTTGTTCATTTCATCTTCCATTTTCTTATTACTAACAACTAACTCTGCATTCTCACTTGTTAGGGGACCTATACTCACTTCACTTACTCTACATGTTACACCTTCAATTATATATCAAAAGATTTACACTCTATTTTTATCTAGTTGTTCCACCTATAAGCATTCTTTTTCTGCAAACCTTGGTCAGCCTCTATCTTTGCATCTAAAACATTACTTCACATCTTGACTATGAACAGGCCCCGCATCTTACCAATCCACTTTCTGCTGTTTTCCAAAATCCTTCCCTTAATTTTCTCTCATGCATTGTTTGGTGTGTTACGATCCCAGTTTTTGTTAACACTAGATTCCAGGCTTGACAGACTAGATACTGAGAAGGTGTTTCCACCAGTGGGTGGACCTCCAACTAGGAGGAGAGTTACTGAATGAGACTCTCATCTAAAAACAAAACGCCAAGGAATTTCTTCTCCCAGAGGTAGTAAATGCCAGCAATTCTCTCACAGAGTTGTGGAGGCTACATCACTGAAAATACTTAAAGAGGAGTTAGATAGATTTTTGAAATGTTAACATTTTAAAGGGTATGCGAAATTTGCATGAAAGAAAAGTTGGAGCCTGGGGCAGATCTGCCAATGTCTTAGTGAATGGCAGGGGACGCTTGATGGGCTATTCCTGCTCCTATTTCTTACGTCTTTATTTTAGATCATAAGTTTTACGTTTTGTGATTTGGTTACCATGGTGGCCAGTATCAAGAGATTCACAAAAGCTTGGCAGCATACTTTTAACAAAAGAACACAAGTTTGTTTTACAGAAGAGATTCGTAAACAAAATCATAAACAACAGAGTCAACTCTTTCTCCCAACAATATTCTTTACATGCACTTGACTCCATTGATGCATCAGACCCGTCTTCACTTCACAATTCCTCACTGAACTGACTAAGTCACAAACATTTCCTTTCAGCGAATTTCCACAGTCACCAGATATGATTCTCGGTCTCTTCCAGAAACAAACTGAAAAGGTAAACATACTGACTTTTCCACACTGCTCTTAAAACAGACTTTTGTTCAGCTCTTCCTAATCTGATCAAACAGCGTCAGGCTTCTTTCAAGCTCTGATGGCTTGAAGACTTCTACAAACTAAGAATTACCCTTTTGCTGGAATGGATCTTTTCTTTTGAACTTATCCTGCATTTGGCCCTAGCCACTTGTCTTTCCTGTAGATCATTTAAAAAAAAAATCCACTTTATAAACATCCCAGCAACCATCTTCCCAAATACCAAATTAAGCAAAGATATCAGTCAACTGTACACCAATTCCTTCACATATAAAAAATATTGAACACAGGATTCAGGAGCAGATACAAGACCATTTGGCCCTTCAAGCCTGCTCCACTATTCAACAAAATTGTGGTGGATCAAGCTGCAGTGTTAATTCCACTTGCCTGCCTGCCTCCCCATAACCCTTGATCAAAGGCATCTATTAATAATTCAAGACAAGGAGGAAGCGAAATAGGCTATTTGGCCTACTGAGCCTGCTAACATTGAATAAAACTATAGCTAATCAGATTGTGGCTTTAACACCACTCCCTTGCTTCCTCCCATAAATGTCAATTCCCTGGTCGATGAAAAATCTGTCTAACTCAGTCTTGAATATAGTCAAATGACTGCTCCATGGAACAGAATTCCAAAGACTAAGAACCCACTGACAGAATAACATTTTTTTTCACATGTTCTTCTCAAACAAGAGACCCATTACTTTTAAATGATGTGCAAACATAGGAACCATGTAGTCTTAGACAACAAGGTGCAGGGCTGGATGAACACAGCAGGCCAAGCAGCATCATAGGAGCAGAAAGGCTGACGTTTCGGGCCTAGACCCTTCTTCAGAAAAGGGGGAGGGAAAGGGGGTTCTGAAATAAATAGGGAGAGAGTGGGAGGCGGATAGAAGATGGATAGAGGAGAGGATAGGTGGAGAGGAAACAAACAGGTCGAAGAGGCGGGGATGGAGCCAGTAAAGGTGAGTGTAGGTGGGGAGTTAGGGAGGGGATAGGTCAGTCCAGGGAGGATGGACAGGTCAAGGGGGCGGGATGAGGTTAGTAGGTAGGAAATGGGGGTGCGGCTTGAGATGGGAGGAGGGGATAGGTGGGAGGATCCCAAAACCAGTCCAGCTCGTCCCCGCCTCCCTAACCTGTTCTTCCTCCCACCTCAAGCCACACCCCCATTTCCTACCTACTAACCTCATCCCGCCCCCTTGACCTGTCCATCCTCCCTGGACTGACCTATCCCCTCCCTAACTCCCCACCTACACTCACCTTTACTGGCTCCATCCCCGTCTCTTTGACCTGTTTGTTTCCTCTCCACCTATCCTCTCCTCTATCCATCTTCTATCCGCCTCCCACTCTCTCCCTATTTATTTCAGAACCCCCTTCCCCTCCCCCTTTTCTGATGGAGGGTCTAGGCCCGAAACGTCAGCCAATCTGCTCCTATGATGCTGCTTGGCCTGCTGTGTTCATCCAGCCGTGCACCTTGTTGTCTCGGATTCTCCAGCATCTGCAGTTCCTATCTCTGAACCATGTAGTCTTTACAGTTTACAGGTGAAAACACGCATCAGCAGAACTGTAACTTGGCAAAGGTTAGTGTTTTCAGTAATTTAGAGGAGGAAAAAGAAATGGAAGACAAAGGGAAAAAAAGAAGAGGATGCTCAAGTCGCAACACTGATTACAATATTTTAACAGTACACCATTCGACTTATAGCATCCCAAGTTAATACTTCCATCAGGTTGCCCAACCTCCACACAGAAAGCAGGGAGTAGTTACTACCCTGTAACAAGTTGTTTGGACTGTGTCTTTATGTTTTGAGTCTCCAAAAACTGAAATGCAATGAGAAAGAGATAACAAGGTGTAGAGCTGGATGAACACAGCAGGTCAAGCAGCATCAGAGGAGCAGGAAAGCTGACGTCTAGGCCCAAAAAGAGTTATATAGTAATGGTTTACTTGTGGCTTCAGTCTAATTGCTTGCAATAAATAATAATTTGTGGCTGGTACAGAAACCTCCCTGTGTTTTCTATCAACTCGATCTGAAAGTCAGGTAAATTGAGGTACAGCATGTGTCACAGAATTCTCGCCTCCTTTCGCGCTGTTTGGCTTATTGGCACTAGGTTACAGAACCACAGTATGCACAATCACTTGCCTTTCCCACATCCTACACACCATTTCTATTCAAATAATCATTCACTACCCTCTTGAATACCCTCCACCACATTTCCAGGAAGTGCAAATGATACCCTATCTACTCGCAGTGTGAAAGAAGTTTTATCTTACATCACCATTACTTTGTATTTGCATCACTTTAAAATCTATGCCTTTTTTAAAATCTTTTACAAGCATGAGCAACTTCTCCCCTTTTACTTCAAACAGCCTACTCATGATTTTGAAAACCACTATCTGATCTCCTCTCAGCCCTCTTCTCACCAAGGAGAACAGTTCTAACTTCTGCAATTCATCCTCATTACTTGTCATTCCTGGAGCCAGTCTTACAAATTGCTCTGCACTGTCTGCAAAGCATTCACATAATTTCTTACAATCCACAACTGTACAAAACACTCTAGGTGAAGTCTAAAGTGTCTTGTACAAATTCATCATCACCTCCCCTGCTCTTGCACAACACCCATATTCAGAAAGCTGAGGACGCTGTAGGCTTTATTAACTGAGATGGTAGGAACTGCAGATGCTGGAGAATCTGAGATAACAAGGTGAAGATCTGGATGAACACAGCAGGCCAAGCATCAGAGGAGCAGGAAAGCTGACGTTTCAGGTCTGGACCCTTCTTCAGAAATGGGGGAGGGGAAGCGGATTCTGAAATAAATAGGGAGGGGGGTTACAGGCGGATAGAAGATGGATAAAGGAGAAGATAGGTGGAGAGGGGAGCAGTTTTAGGGCCAAAGAGATTACAAGAGAGTTGCAGTGGGAGAGAGATCCACTGAGGTCTTTCCGGAGGGAGGAGGGTAACTTCTTCAAGGTAGGCATCCTTAGAAGAGGCTTTGCAGTGGGGTTAAAATTGTTTCAGAGATAGTAGGAACTGCAGGTGCTGGAGAATCTGAGATAATATGGCTTTATTAACTGCTCTCTCCACCTGTCCTGCCACCTTCAGTGACCTGTGCACATACGTCCCTACATTCTGGCACCCTCTTTAGAAATGTACTTCTATTTTATATTATGACCTTGCATTACCTCAAACTTCTGTGCATTGAACCTCAATTGGCACTATGCACCCACAACACCAACTTGTCAATGTTCAGGGAAACTGCTGTTTTGGAAAATCATCAATTATGAGCACACCATTAACTTGAAAAAGCAGCTACGGCACATCTGCATATTCTTAAACCCTATGTCAAGAGGACAACATTGAGCAAACCTGCTTGTGTTTCAGGGCTTGAATATTCTTGACATGAGTAGACTGGCAGTTGGGACGACACCTTCAGCCCCTAACTCAAGCCCACAGCTTCCTCACTTGTCCTCAGTAAAAGGCTCAAAGAACACAGCTTCTTCAAGGTAAACTGCAAAGGTAATGAAATAGCTACCTCTTCACTGTCGTCTTCTTCTGCTTCTTCAGATTCATCCTCACTGTCCTCAAAGAAGACAGACTTAGCCGCTCGCTGTGATTTGGCAGATGACGAGCAGGATGGCCCAGCATCAGCCGTGGATGATGACACAACAGCCTCTTCAGAGGTGCCCTTGCTGGCTTTGGCAGGTTCTTTATCTGAACCAGACCCAGTAGTGCTATCTCCACTTGCCAGTCCAACTTCCTCACTCCTGTATTCAGAACTAGAGGAGATTCCTACAGTCACCTCGGATTTCCCATTTTTGTTCTTTATTTCACCCATGCCTGCTTCGCTGCTCTCCAACTCTCCATTTATCTCCTTTTCGGACTTGTTTTTATCGTCATCTTTCGGTAGAGGTTTCTTAACAGTGGGGGAAGTTTTGCTCTTTGAATGTTTAGCACTGTTCTGGTTTTGTCCATATCGGGTGAGTAACTCTTCAATTGTCATTGTAGCCTCTTCATGTAAAAGTGCAGCCTCCTCATGGTCAACTGAAGGAGAAAAAGAAACAAAAAAAAAAGTTTGATGATCTATTATGGGGTGGATGTGTCTTATCGACTACAAATGGTTTTAGTGAGTTATCGCTAATATACTGGAAAGGGAAGAATGCTTTTACCAGACCTGCACTCATATCCCAATCTACATATTTAACCCCACTGCAAAGCCTCTTCTAAGGATGCCTACCTTGAAGAAGTTACCCTCCTCCCTCCGGAAAGACCTCAGTGGATCTCGCTCCCACTGCAACTCTCTTGTAATCTCTTTGGCCCTAAAACTGCTTGCCTCTCCACCTATCTTCTCCTTTATCCATCTTCTATCCGCCTCTAACCCCACTAACCCGAAGGATTAAACCTACAAATTTTTTTCAACAATTCATATACAAAATTATTTAATAGAATTCTCAGGCCAGATGGAATCCATGAATAAATTTTTCCTGCTCTTTTCCAGTTCTACGAGTGCACACCTATTTCAAGATCTCCTTCAGCTTCTCCTGCGTTGTGGATTTGTAGGATATCATTCCCAACCAAATTTAGCTTTGTCTCCTATCAATACTTTTTAAATTTCCTCCCCTTGAATCTATCACCCCTCTCTATCCCTCTTCCTGGGGTATTTACCACAATTTTAGACTTATTACTGGCAGCTTGGATTGCTGGGGATCGGAAAGATGGATATTATCAACATTAATCCTGGGAATTCTAAAATGTCACCTAAAAGGGCACGTGCTGTGCTATTTCACCTTAAAGGAATGACGTGGAGAAAAGGAGTGCATGGACCACAGACATCATGCTCAAGCACTGCACCCCACACCCTTGATTTGCGGGATGAAAAGGAGACCAACAGGAGCAACTTAGGAGGGCGAGGTGTGGAGTTCATTTATATATCTCCACAAAAATGTATTATTAGCTCATGAATGCCAAACCTGTAGACAGCCCTTTCTTGCAACTCTAGATAAATTTAAATTTTAGTAATCGTGTAGGACCAAAACTGCATACGAAAGCCAGATTTCCAAACAGGTTCTTCTCATCAGCATAACATCCATTTAAGGCTTTTCAATTAATATCCACTACAACTTCATACGCAAGTCTACATAGCAGATACATATGTTTTGAAAGCTATATAACAAACCTTTTTGAGCTCCCTTTCCATCACCTCAATGTAGTTAACATCTTTAATCAGTAACGCATTAACCTCTTATACAGGTTAAGAGCGTCTCCAGACACACGTATGATGGAAACTTAGTATATTCTTAGTATGTCAGCTCAAGTTAACTTGTGAAAAATTCACATGTACAACATTACAGTTTATCTTAGCTACAGAATTTTAACCAGGGCGTAAGAAACATGAAATAGGAATATAAGCAATGGCAGGACCAGAGGCACTTTATATATAATCAACAAAATAATTAACTAAATACTACAAAGGAAGCACAGAGGGTACTGCATGGTGACTGCAGAATACCAAAGCTCACAGATACAGGTGTGATCCAAGACAAATACATCTGCAGCCAAGTGCCGGCAGCTTGAAGAACTTTAGCTTTGAATCAGAGTCAATGAGCTGGGAGGTAGAGTTGTAAACACTGCAAAGCATTTGGGAAGGCATACATTACAAGGACATTTTCTTCCACGGGGTGGTCACATGCCTGAGGAAACGGAATGCTTGATCTGCTCTGTTGTCAGGGATGGAGGGTGAGACTATGAGTGAGGCAGTTATGGGCACTGAATAATTAAAAGTGGAAGAGCCTCAGCCCTAGCACTTATCTACCAGGTCCAAAGATTCTCTCAGCTGCTACAGGTAAAACCTGGGTCTCCAAGCTGGATGAGTGAACTAATAAATACAACAGAAACCATTCAAAAAGAGGGAATTGATAGAAATGCAATGGTACTACAGGAGAGTACTAATAGGGGAAATGTCACTGTTCCTTGCAATTGACAGAGTTCAATGGCTGTTGCTTGCCAGGTATCAGGGTTTAGGACATTTATCTGCTCTAGGGTGGAGAAGACGTTACTATGGGAGGAAGAGTAGGTAAAGGTTCGAGTTGTCTTTGTTTGCTTATGTACCAACGACATAGGTACATCTGGGAAAGGGATTCTGTTGAGGGAAGATAAGCATCTGAGGGCTAAATTGAAAAGCAGAACCCCCAAAGTAAAAATCTCTGGAATACCATCTGAGTCATGAGCAAACTTGCTTAGGGTCAATACGATTAAAGAGAGTTCAACATGTGCTCAAAGTTTGATGTGGGAGAAGGATGTTGATTCCTGGAGAGCTGGCACGAGTACTGGAGAATGTAGGAGCTGCACCATTCGGTGATCTTAACCTGACCTGTGTTCTGGCGAGTTGCTTAACCACAGTGGTAGGAATAGTGGGAGCAAGAAAAGACACAATAAATTAAAGACAGATCAAGGCAAAACGAGCAAGGCAGCAATAAGGAAAATCATTAGAATGGCAGGAAAGGACAGAGCATAACAATGCACCAGCAGATAATACTAGTGGTTACAATAATAGTAATAAGACAGAAGTAAAGGTTTGATATTTAGTGTGCATAGCATTCATAACACAGTGGATGAGTCAACAGATCTATTAGAAAAGAACGCACAATCTGGTAGTCATTATGGAGACACAGCTACAAGACGACAAAAATTAGGCCCTGAAAAGTGAGTTTAAAAAATAACACCGGTGGGAGCAATTCATAGACTCGCTTTGAGTAATTACACCATTGCACAGTTATACAAGAAAATGTAATAGGGCTTGTAAGAATGGTCCAGTGATGATCTTGGATAATTTTAATCTATGTATGGATTGGATAAATCGGATTGGCAAAGTTAGTCTGGAAGATGGGTTTTTATTTCCCTCTAAGAGCATAGAGCAAGTTTCTCACAGCAGCACATTTTACAGCCAGAGAACAGACTATTTTAAATCTGGTAATATGCAATGAGACAGGGCCAATTAATAACCTCATATTAAAAGGCACTAAGTAGCAGTGATCACAACATGATTGAATTTGAAATTCAGTTTCAGGGAGAGAGGAGTATATTTAACACTAGTGTTTTAAGTTAAACAATGGCAATTATGAATGGTATGAACATAACTGGTTCATGTGAACTGGAAAATTAGGTTAATGGACAGGTGAGTGAAGATGTAGTGGCAGACATTTCAAACAATATTTATTACACTCAAAGTTGCATTCCAGTGAAAAAAGATGGACTCTAGAAGAAGAGCAGACCATTTGTGGCCAAGAAAGTTAAAATTGAAATAAAAAGCACGCAACTCTATGAAAATTAATGACAGGTCATAAAATATACCAAGCAGTAAAGAACGACAAATCAACACAAAGGGCAGAGACATTTAACAGTATGACAGAAAGCTTTTGAGAAATATAAAAAAAGGGAGCAAGCGTTCTACAGGTATTTAAAAAGAAAGTAAAAGTGAGCACTAGTCCTGTTGAGAATGTATGGAGAATTAGTAATGAAATTGTGGATGAAATCATCCGAAAACATGACTATCTTCACTGTGAAGGATACAAGCAACATCCCATAAAAATGCAAACCAAGAGGTGAAAGAAAGTGAGCAACTTATGACAATAACAAATCAGCAAAGAAAAGGTACTAAGATAATTATTAGAACTTTAAGTTGAAAAGTCCTTAAGTCCTGATGGACTCCATCCCAGTGCTTTAAGAGAAATGGCTACTGGCCTACCAAAGAGCATAAGCAGCAAGTGATACACAGAGCTAAGTGACCCTACAACCAACTCTGCACTCCTGCCACATCCGGTCATGAATGGTGGTGGTGGACAGCCAAATAATTACTGCAAGGGGTGACTCCACAAACATCCCCATCAGAGCGAAAGATAAGGCTGAACATAATCATAACAATCTTCAGATGAAAGTACAGTGGATGAGCAACCCGCAACATCACAGATGAGTCTTCAGTTAATTTGATTCACTCCACATGACATCAGAAAACGGTTAAACACATTGGACACTGCAAAAGACATGGGAACTGATAACACTCCAGCAATAGTACTGAAGATTTATGCTTCAGAACTGGCCACTACAGTAGACAAGCTGTTCCAGTACAGCTACAACATTAGCATCTACTCAACAATGTGAGCAATATTTGAGGTTAAGTCCTGTACTAAAAAAGCAGGATAAATTACTGCACCAGTTTACTCTCGATCGACAGTAAAGTGATGCAAGATGTCATTAACGGTACCAACAAGCAGCACCTGCACACTGACTTCAAGTTTGGGCTTCACCAGGACCATTTAACTCCTAACCTCATTACAGCCTTGACTCAAACACAGACAAAAGAGAAACTGAATTCCAGAGGGGAACTGAGTAACAGCCCTGACATCAAAGCCATATTTGACCAAGTGTGGCATCAAGGAGCTCTAGCAAAACTAGAATCAACGGGTATCGGGGGCAAACTCTCTACCGGTTGAGGTCATACCTGGTACATAGGAAGACAGATATGGTTGGAGGCCACTCATCACAGGTCCAGGACATTTCTGTAGGAGTTCTCAGGGTAGTATCCTCGGCCTTCCCTCCGTAAGATCAGAAGTAGGAATGTTGATGATTGCACAATATTCAGCACCATGTATGAACCCTCAGAAATCAAAGCAATCCATGTCTAAATACGACAAAAACTGGCCAATATCCAAGTTTAGGCTGAGATGGGGCAAGTAACATTGTACCACACAAATGCCAGACAATGATCAGCTCCAATAAGAGGCAACCTAACCACAGTGGCTGCAAGAACAGGTCAGTGTCTATTAATACTGCAGTAAGTAACTCACCTCTTGATTCCTTAAAGCCTGTCCACCATCTACAATGCACAAGTCAGGAATGTGACGGAATACTCATAATTTGCCTGGATGGGGTTCAGCTCCAACAACACTGAAGAAGCTTAACACTATCCAGGACAAAGCAACCCGCTTGATTTGCACCACATCCACATTCAGGCACTTCACGATCGACGATCAGTAGCAGCAGTATGTACTGTGCAGAAATTCCAAGATTCTTAGACAGCACCTTCCAAACCCTTGACCATGTCCAGCTAAAAGGATGAGGGCAGCAGGTACATGGGAAAACTACAAACCGCGGGTTCCCCTCCAAGCCATCCTGCCCGGATATAGATCACTGTTCCTTCATGGTCATTGGGTCAAAATCCCGAATTCCCCCCTTAACAGCATTGTAGATCCACGTATAGCACACAGACTGTAACAGTTCAAGAAAACAGGTCTCCACCACTATTTCAAGGGCAATTAGGAATGTGAAATAAATGCTGGCACAGCCAGCGATGCCCACATCCCACAAGTGAATCAAAAGCAAAATGACAGACTAGGGAACCATATAAATTTGCCAATGACAAACATAGATAGCATAGTAAGTTATGAAGAGGACATAAAGGTGCCTGCACAGGGATATACAGGATGCACAGGAGTGAGGGAGGATTAACGACATGGTAGAAAACAGAAAAAAATAAAATTAAAATCAGTCGTACATTTTTAAAGAATAGCTGGTTTGCATTAAACCAAATAACAAGGCACCCAACCTAAACTGAATTCCTTACGAACATTGTCAAGGTCAACATTGTCAAGAATGCATGAACAACCAGTAAACAGAACTCAATTTAATACACGTATGTTTTACTGGATGTAGGCACTGATCAATACTTATTGCTGATCCTATATTGGTCGAGGTTGTGGTGGTGAACTGCCTTCATTAATTATTCTAGTTCATCTGGTCAAGGTAGCACTTGGAGGGCTGTTAAGGGAGGGAGTTCCAGGATTTCATACAACAATGAAGAAATGGTGAAATACATCCAAGTCAGGACGGCGGGTGGTTAGGGAGAGATCCTGCAGATGACTGCGATATGCTTACAAACAAATTTTCTTCTGCAGAACTTAAATTGTGCGTATCCAGGTTCCACCACCATTTAAATTCAGTTTACTTTCAGCTTACCGTCATCTTCATCAGCAACCTTCTCGCCGTCATCCTCCTGAGGTCGGCCCGCAATCTGGGCAAGTTCCTTGATCACCATCTCCTCTGTAAGCTTGCTATCTATGGACAGAAAGGCATCTTCCAGTGCCTTGAATTCAAAAGACAAAAAAAATCAAGAGATCTTAATGTTAAATTAGGGGTTTTGAATACCAAAAAAAAAATAGTGAATATAATTGGACACTGGAAGATGAAAATCACAAACCGTACTCAAGCCACAACTGCTTCTCATGCAAGCTCATTGTAGCATATTACACATAAAAAGCTAAAATTCAACACAAACGTCTGTGCGCATCTAGCAAAATCACATACTAATAGTGAGCAAATAGTACCAACTTGGTTTAGTTACCACTATGACTGTGTCAGGAGGCTGATGTTCCAGACCAACTCTAGGACTTTCACAGCTAAAGTAATATGACATTTGTAGTTCACCTCCCAGGATCTCTCCTAGTGGGCAGCAAGGACCACGTGCTCTGAAAACAAAAAGGTTTTCTCATACCTGGGCAAATTCCAACCCCAGAGAAACAGCAGCCAAATAATTAATTGGCTACTCGTCTGTTTGGCTGTTAGTGTGCACACAAGAGGTTGTTATGGCTCATGAAGTAACAGTTGTTACTGTTTTGTCAATTATAATGATCAGCTATAATCTAAAAGGCATCAGATAAATCCAACATCTTTCAATACTGTGTTGACTTCATAACCACATTAAGCCTTCCCACCACCCCCCACCCCCGCAAAAAAAACTGTATCGTAACACAAAAAACAAAGCACTGTTTTCAAAGGCATTCTTTTCACAAATGACACAAGCCTTAATAAATTTCAGGCTGGTAGCAGATGAAATATTAGGGCTGCAATCTGACTTCCAAACAATTACAAAAAAATAATTTGTAAAAGATGTGCCCTTTCTTTGGAAACTGCTACTAGAGCACAAACAACTATAGCGCCTTTAACATTACAAAACATCCCCAGGTATGTCACAGGAGCATTATAAAACAAGGTATGAAATGGTGTCTCATTACTACAGTATTACTGAATTAAGTTCAACAAAAAGTGACAAAGAACCACTGTGGGATTGAAACATGACAGTGCTTCATTCAGAGCTAGGGGAAAAATGTGCAAATAATTTAGATTTCTTAAATTGACGTAACCACATTGAGGTGACCCTCAATGAGTTTACATTGCTCTTCAGCATCACCTGGTGGCAATAAGGAGCTTGCAGAACTGAAAATGTTGTACAAGCAGTTTTAGATGCTTCAAAATATTTTTCTTCACATTTGCTCAAAAGTGTTAGTTTCTCCCTTATAGATTGTCTGGCCACGTACTACTCCCACCTGGGCCAGTTTGGCTTCTTGCCCCTCCTTCTCTGTGTAACAAGAGTTGATTGTTCAGGTAATCCACTTCTTTACCACCACGACCAGGTATTATTGAATTAACCTTTGCATTTGAGGCAAGGTGTCAACATCAGGGTACGCAAGGGTTTTCGACTTTAACATGGAGTCCAAACACTTAGACACTTAAACTTGTCAAAATTCAAACCCAAATCCCAAAAGATCGTAAACTCAGACACCTCCCCAACATTCAGCATTATCCAAGTTGAGACAAATACCTTGAGAGCACCCCCAAAGACAAAGTGGTAAACAAAACTACTGTCAACAAACTAAAGGGGATTACTACATTCAAGTCCTGACATTTTCATGAGCTGGGAGTTTGTAAGAAATTTGTAGAGGCCTATTCTCAGCTGTTCTTCTTCCCAATCCCACTGCACAAAAGAAAAAAGAGCACATGCATCGAAAACATGATATCTCACAGCCTACTCTCTCTCATGAACTATTCAACCTGCATGATGCTTTCATCTGGGGAGTGTTGCCGTACAACGGGTGTGCACGTGCATAGTTCCTTGAAAGTGGAGTCACAGGTAGACAGGGTGGTGAAGGCAGTGTTTGGCATGCTTGCCTTCATTGATCAATGCACTGAGCGTAGGAGTTGGGACATCATTTTGAGGCTGTACAGGACATTGGTGAGGCCATTTTTAGAATACTGCATTCAATTCTGGTCTCCCTGCTATAGGAAAGATGTTTTTAAACTTGAAAAGGTTCTGAAACGATTTAAAAGGATGTTGCTGGGATTGGAGAATTTGAGATGTACAAGTAGGCTGAATAAGCTGGGATATTTTCCCTGGAGTGTCAGAGGCTGAGGGGCAACCTTAGAGGTTTATAATTCATGAAGGGCATGAAGAGGATGAATAGCCAAGGTCTTTTCCCAGGATAGGGGAGTCCAAAACTATACGGCTTAGGTTTAAGGTGAGAGGGGGAAGATTTTAAAGGGACCTAAACGGCAACGTTTTCATGCAAAGAATGGAGCGTGTATGGAACGAGCTGGCAGTGGTGGTGGTGGAGGCTGGTACAACTACAACATTTAAAATGCATCTGGATGGATGTATGAATAAGAAGGGTTTAGAGGGATATGGACCGTTTGCTGGAAAATGGAACTAGATCAGTTACGTTATCTGGTCGGCAGGGACGTGTTGGACTGAAGGGTCTCTTTCCATGCTGTATAATGAGTTGAGTTATTTTCTTGGATACTGGCCATAATATTTAATAGGGTATCTGTGAATGTTCCAAAGATATATCAAATCGAGCCTTGTTTTCCCAAGGATCTGCACCACAAGTTATCCCCTCTCAGCATTTTTGATGTTAAGAAAAATCAGCGAAGAACCTGTGCTTTTAGAATGTGGCATCAAAATCAACTTAATCTATACAAACCAACTATTTCCAGAAATCAAGCACCCCAAATGGCTCATCTTATATCTGAATTAGTCTACTCATGAATGCTTTGCTCTGTCAAACATTATTTCTAATTCTGAAAATCATACCTTCTGCAATTTTCCACTCCTATAGGCCTGTTGGCTCTTAATAACATCAGGCAGGTACTTGGCACAATACAGCGCCACTTCTTCACCTGGAAGAAATAATAAATTCAGGATGAGAATTCTAGCCAACTTATAATTTATTCCTTGGGAAGGAGGAAACATGAATTCAACAACAGTGATCGAAGAAATGCACATTAGATGAGAGTTGGGAGAAGAGAACATGTAGTTTTGGATCATTAAGGAAGTGAGTTTTTTAAAAATTCATTCATGGGATGAAGGCGTCACTGGCCAGGCCAGCATTTATTGCCTAGAGGGCATTTAAGAGTGCTGTGGGTCTGGAATTACATGTAGGCCAGACCAGGTAAAGATGGCAGTTTCCTTCCCTATAGGACATTAATGAACCAGGTGGGTTTTTCCAAAAAAATCAGCAATGGATTCATGGTCATCATTAGACTCATAATTCCAGATTTTTTTCATTGAATTCAAATTCCACCATCTGCCACGGCAGGATTTGAACTCGGATCCCCAGGACATGTCTGGGGTCTCTGGATTAATAGTCCAGTGATAATACCACTAGGCCATTACCTCCCCAGCAATCAAGTTGTAATGGTAAAACTATGGATGTGGATTTCAACGACGTCAGCAACCGAGCAGATAATGTGGACCGAATGTGAAATTTGAAATTCAGGCCTGGCTGAGCAGGATACCAATATCACACAAGGAAGCCCAAATAACTCTACGTGTAGGGTCCACAAGCAGGAGTATTGCTGAATCAGACAGAAGAGGCCCTTTGGTTCAGAGTTTGTACTGCCAATAATATACTATCTACACTAGCCCTACTTTCCCGCACAAGGCCCATAGCCTTGCATATCATAACATTTCAAGTGCTCATTCAAGTACTTTTAAAAAGGTTGAGAGGTTTCCCCATCTCAAACACTCTGTCAGGGAGTGCATTCCAGACCCCATCACACTCTGTGAAAACGATTTTCCCCAAATCCTCTCTAAACCTCTTGCCTTTCACTTCCAAACTATGCCCCCTTGTTACTGACCCTTCAATTAAAGGGGAACAGTTGCTTTCTAGCCACCCTCTGCATGGCCCTCAAAATCTTATACATCTCAATCAGGTCCCCCTCATCCTTCTTTGCTCTGAAGAAAACAACCCAAGCTTATCCTGCTTGTCTTCATAGCTGAAATGCTCCATACCAAGCAAGATCCTGGTGAATCTCCTTTGCAACCCCTCCAGTACAACCGTATCCTTCCTCTCGTGTGGTGACCGGAACTGCACACAGTACTCCAATTGTGGCGTAACCAAAGTTCTGTACAGCTCCAATATGACTTCAATTCTCTTATAATCTATGCCTGATAAAGGCAAGTATTCCTTAAGTCTTAACTAGCCTATTAACCTGCCCTACACCTTCAGGGATCTGTGAACATGCATCTCATTCATGGGGACACTCCCTTGTCTTTTTCCTTCTTCCAAAGAGCATCATCTCACAATTATCATGGTTAAATTTTGTCTGCCACTGATCTGTCCATTTATATTCTCACCATCAACCACTCAGGCAATCTTTGTCATCCACAAGCTGACTTATTATCCCCCCCACACAAGAAGCATGGAAACATTACAGAAGAGGTGCAATTTCAGGACAACAGCATGGCTTATGTCTTGATAATGTTGAGCAGCCGGCAGTATTCATCAGACTGTTACTCACGGTCACGGAGACAAGGATTTTGTGGAGAAACAAGGTGGATCTCACTTCCATGAGTATGGAAAAAGAAAGTACACATTGTTGTTTGCCAGTGTGAAAATCAAGATAAAGCCAGGGAGGATTACAATTGCAGAGGGGAATCCATCAGGTTTGTCAGCAGTTCAAAGAAACAAAATTAACCTTTCAGATGTTCTAATGGAACATTCCATGCGTAAATTTACTTTTTTTGAGAAAGGTGCTCCTCAAACAACTGAGTTTTTAGATTCCATTTTAACTATTACAAAATATTCAAAAATAAATGACTGTCAATTTTTAAAACGATAGATGAATACCTTTACAGAAATTACCAGCGATCAGAGTCTGCGTGGGCTTAGCAATGGATCAAAACCACTAGGATAAAAATTTAAACATTTACGTTTTGAACATTTTATTCATGCAAATGACCTGAATATTTACATGATCAGAGTGCTTCAGTTACAAACCGAACCATGCAAGTTTCCACTTCCATCAATACTGAATTAGTGAACCCACATTATGGCAAGCTGTTTACAGAAAGTTACTTGAATCTACAAAGATTCCTGTCAATTAGGAGACAGAAAACATCAAGCACAAAACCCACAAATTACTTAGAAAATACATTCTTTTTAAAATTTATATGCAAACACAGACACGCAATAAAGCAAACAGCAAATCATTACGTCTACATAAAGAAGTCAATTGGTTTTTCAGCAAAATTTTTATTACACAATTATAGTGCCTTGCAATACGCAAGACCCCCAACTTGTGTATCACAGAAAATGCTTGTGCATTACAAAGTTTAGTCCAAATGACAAGACAGAAGGACAGTTAACACATGGATGAATCAATCCCAAGACATGCTTTAACCGGATACATTACTGACTGAAGAGCTGTGAGCAAGTGACAAAAAAAATACAGACAAACCTACACATATTTCAACTGCTTGGGTTGGGCAGAGGGGAATTTTCCAAGTCATGCTTTTCACATGTCTCCCCAAGAGATTGTATCAGCGGGAGAATGGCATAGCAAGCGTCTAGTCAAGATGCACCAAGTTCAGTATCAGCTCATTTTCATGTTTGCATCAAACAATGCAGACTATAATAAATCAACCTCGTGTGGTCTTGCACACAGGGAATCATGACAAACTTGAAACTGACAGGCTAAACTGAACAGCAGGCCTTGCAAATGTTTATTACAACCCATTTTGAGTAAATATGAAATGTTGATACCAATGCCCACATAAGCACACTCTTAAATAAATGAACCTGTAAGCACAATGAATTCCATCACTCATGTTCTCCTACCTCCATGGCCATCATAAACTGCAAACATAGCAGTCTCTTCATCCAATTCCGGGATACAGTTGTGCGCATCCTAAAAAAATCAAATTCATAATAAACTATAATTAATTTGTATAATTACCTGAGCAATGACCTTCCATGCTTCAATCAGAACCATCATTTATTCAAAAACTTGCTCCCTTCAACAGATTACTCCCTTCTAAAAAAAAAAATCAGGAGCAGGGCCAAATGGCCTACTCCTAATATTTTCTGAGTTTCTACGAATTATTCAACATGAAAGCTCCCAGCCATCAAAATGGTATTGTTGCCATTTTGTCAACTAAATACAGTATCTGTTACAACAAACAGCTTTAATATCTGCGGCCCTCACAATATAAATAATCTTCAAATTATCTGTTGAATGTCATACAAATACTTACAATAATGAGATGGGACCGATAGGTGACAAACATGTATACATGCTCGCTCAGTCCATAAAGGATTTTTCTTTCCAAATACAAATAAAACCAGCAGAGAAACTGATTCTGCAAATTAGTAAAAGTCCTCATGATTTGACCCTTTTTTGAACAACTTATTCCTACATAGCTTTCAGTTAATTCATTTATTCTGCTCTTCTCATATAAAGAGTACAAACATTAGTCAAACAAACTTCAAGTCTGACACCATCCATGGCAAAGCAATCCATTTGAGTGGTACCCTACCCACTACCTTACACATTCACTCTTGACAATCAATTCACAGGACCAGCACTATGAGTCATATACAGGATGTGCTGCAGGAACAAAGCCTCTTTCAATAAGATCGAACAAATCCACAGCTTCTTTCACCTAGTAGGTGAAGGGAAACAGGCACATGGGAACACCACCACACGCATGAACCCCTGTACCTACCATTCTAACTAGGACTGAGATGACAGACGTCTGCACCCAGACGGTGATAAGCCCATGGAAATCTCTGGTTGAGGTCAAAATATTGAACGTTTTTCAAAAGGAGTTAGATATTGTTCTTTTGGTTTAACAGGATCAAAGCATATAGTGAGAAAGTGGGAGCAGGGTACTGAGTTGGATGATCAGCCATGACCATTTTGAATGGCAGAGCAAGGCCAAATGTCTATTTTGGCACCTATTTTCTGTGTTTCTATGAATTGCTCACCATTGAAATTCTCAACCTGTGAACAGCTTTTGCAGCCACTTTGTCAAATTCAATTTCAGGCCAATGGTAACCCATGGAATGTTGACTATAGGGAATTCAGTGAATGCTGAAAGATGATTACATCCTCTTATTGGAGATGGCCATACCCTTGTAAGGAAGTAGCAAATAACATTGGTCCCACACATCTCAGGCCTGAATGCTACTCAGATTTTTCTACATGTGGGCACAGACTACCTCAGTACCTGAGAAGTCCTGAATGGTATAGTGAATGAACCATGAGATTTAATGAATGGTGCAATCAAGAGCAAACATTCCAATTCCTGACGGAACGATGGAGCAGAAAGTCATTGTAAAAGCAATTGCGAAAAGACCCACATTACGCAGAAGAATTCCTGCAGTTACACGTTTAAAGTTTTCCAGTTTCAACCCCTTTCTTTCAAATCAAGGAAACATCATTTTAATTCATGAAATGCTTTGAATTTCCCACAATTTTTTTGTTATTAGAAAGATGCAAGATTGTAATGTCAGAGCAGGGTAAGGTAATACTCACAGTCAATCTCACATTTTACTGTGCTTGGACCTAGTCACTCCCACCTTTCCCTCCATTTACATTAACATGGATATTTAAAACAAACTATACCTTAATACGCCAATTAAGAAAACTTCAGTTAAGGATAGCCAAATTGTCAAGAATTATAATTCTCAGAGGTTATACAGAGATGCAAATGACTTCTAGACTGCACAATACAATGCAATGAAGTTTTAGTACAGTATTTCATTATCTTTTGGGACACTCCCTTTTTCTTTTTTTAATTGCAAGTTGAAGTCCAAAGAATCAGTAGAAGAATGGTGAGGTAGAAGCAGGTATAACAACTGAGAAGAAGCATTAGTCAAATGAACTAGAACCAACTGAAAAGAAAGTAGGAAATTCTTAGTGAAGTAGAAAGATCCTAGATAATAGAAACAATCACAGTAGAGATGTAGGGGGAAGGACATGATCAAGGATTTAGATTTTGAAGAAGTTTTTGAACACAAGCGGAGAGATAAGATTAAAAGGGGTTAAAAGGGTAATTCGAGCATGGAATGAGGAAGAACGAATGTTCATAGTTCTTTGATGGTTTATCAGGAAAGGAATTTATGTTTGTAGTTTTGTTTCACAGTAAAATTTTATTCATTGTTGATTTGAACCACAGAATTTCCAGTAGTTTTCTTTCATCAAAAGCAGACATTTCAGAGAGGAATCCTCCCAGCTTCCTGGCCAATATATAACATTCACCCAATAACATTAGGAGGTTTCCTGACAATAATTTCATTGTAGTTTTGGGGCCCTGATGTGCACAAATTGACAACAATTAAAAACAAAGCACCTCAGCAGCCACATAGTGATTTGGAGACCACTAAATATGGTCCACGTTAAATGCATGAATTGAGGCCAAGTGTCTACAGATGGGGAGGATCAACTGAACAATAACTTGTCCTAATATATGAAAAGAAAGTTCAGGCCCTCTTGTGGCAGAGTGGTAAAGTCCCTACCTTGAAGCACAGGTTGAAATCCCACTAGCACGAGAGGCATGTAATAACATCTCTGAACACTTGATTAAAAAAGTATGTTAATTAAAAAAAAGTTCAGGCCCTCTTGGGAAGCAGTGCTAGAGTCCCTGCCTGGGACCTGGGAGTTCTGAACTTAAGTCTTAACTGTTCCACAAGTGTGTTATAACATCTCTGAACAGGTTGATTAGAAAAATAAATCAATAAAAAAATTAAGAATAGGCTCTGGGTGGGATGCTCTTCAGACAATAAATGTGGACTTGAGAGGCTGAATGACCTGCTTTAACACTAGGGATTCACTGATACTATCAAAGTTCAGGCCCTTTTTGTGGTGCAGTAGTAGTGTCCCTATCCCAGACCGAGGGGCCTGGGTTCAAGTCCCACCTGCTTCGGAGGTGAGTAATACCAGGTTATGGAGTCATACAGCTGTACAGCATGGAAACAGACCCTTCAGTCTAACTCATCCATGCCAACCATATATCCTAAATTAATCTAGTCCCATTTGCCAGCATTTGGCCCATATCCCTCTAAACCCTTCTGATTCATATACCCATCCAGATGCCTTTTAAATGTTGCAATTGTACCAGCTTCCACCACTTCTTCTGGCAGCTCATTCCATACATGACCCATGCTCTGTGTGAAAAAAACTGCCCTTTAGGTCCCTTTTAAATCTTTCCCCTCTCACTTTAAACCTGTGCCTTCTAGTTTTGGACTCTCCCACCCCAGGGAAAAGACCCTGTCTATTCACCCTATCCATGCCCCTGATGATTTTATAAATCACTATAAGGTCACCACTCAGCCTCCAATGTTCCAGGAAAAACATCCCCAGCCTATTTGGCCTGCCACTGTAGCTCAAACCCTCCAACCCAACATCCTTGCAAATCTTTTCTGTACCCTTTCAAGTTTCACAACATCCTTCCTATAGCAGAGAGACCTGAATTGCACACAGAATTCCAAAATAACCAATGTCCTGTACAGCCACAACATGACGACCCAACTCCTATACTCAATGCACTGGCCAATAAAGGCAAGCATATCAAACACCTTCACTATCTTATCTACCTGCAACTCCACTTTCAAGGAATATGAACCTGCACCCCAAGGTCTCTGTTCAGCAACACTTCCCAGGACCTTACCATTAAGTATATAAGTTTTGCCCCGATTTGCCTTTCCAAAATGCAAACTTCACATTTATCTGAATTAAACTATCTGCCACTCCTCAGCCATTGACCCATCTGATCAAGATCCCATTATACTGAGGTAACCTTCTTCGCTGCCCACTACACCTCCAATTTTGGTGTCATCTGCAAACTTGCTAACCACACCTCCTATGCTCACGTCCAAATCATGTATGTAGAATCACAAAAAACAGTGGACCCAGCACTGATTCCTGTGGGAAACTGAAGGCCTCCAGTTTTGATTTCGAAAAATAGGTTAAATTAAAAAAAAAAGTTCTTGGATATCCGTGGAGTGGGAGTATACGGTTAATTTGAACATTTGACTGTTATAGGGCCCCTTTATGGGGTGTTTACATTTTAATTTGATTTAATTTGTTTGAATTAAATGGTTGTCATGAGTATAAATATGGCATTTCTCTTTGTTAATTTGTTGATTTGGTTTTTCAAAAGCGTATACAAGACATCTATGTTGAGGGTTTTGTGGCATGTGAGCAGTGTCCCTACCTCTAAGTCAGAAGCTCTAGGCTCAAGTCCGAGCTGCCCAAGAGATGTCATAATAAGGTCTAAACAGGTTGTTTAAAACAAATAGAAGACATTGGTAGTGGGTTGTATAATGAGGAGCTATACATTTGTAAAGTACACTTAGGATAAATCCGGACTCCTGATCTCCTCCTTTACCAATTGGCTGTAATATGTGGAAAAGATTGGAACAGTTCATTTGCAACCTCCAATTACAACTGCCTTTTAACAAACAAAAACCAAAAGAACTGCGGATGCTGTAAATCAGGAACAAAAACAAAGTTGCTGGAAAAGCTCAGCAGGTCTGGCATTTTCCACTTGGGGACCCTACAACCCTCCGGACTCAATATTGAGTACAATAATTTTAGGGCCTAAACTCTCCCATGTCCCAGCCCCCCATCCCACACACTAGACTTGTTACCACATAGCCTGCCATTACACACCCCCCATTGTTAGTCACTAACGGTCCCCATTTACAACTATTCACCCTCCCAGCCTGATCATTAGCAACTCCTTTGTCTGTCCAACTGTGTCTCTCTCTCTCTCTTTGGGCCCTATCGTATCATTTACTCCCTACCCCACCCACCTCCCTATTTTCTGCATATAAAGTGACGTTTTCCCAGCCACCATCAGTTCTGAGGAAGGGTCACCAGACCCGAAATGTTAACTCTGTTTTCTCCTTCACAGATGCTGCCAGACCTGCTGAGCTTTTCCAGCAACTTTGTTTTTGTGCCTTTTAACAAATCCCAGGCTCCAATTCCCTCCCTCATATCTTCAATTGTGCACGTTTTTATGACATCAGATTACACATTCCTCATATACAATCCAACCCACTTTTGACCAGCATGTTCTGCTCCTCAATCTAAATGGGTTCAGTTTGGTGGTCAGCTTGTCTCAGATCCATCTTCTAGCTGTTTATGGGTACACGGGTGAGGAAGAATGTAAATCAAACTAAGATGGCAGAGACATCCATGACATATGAGCAACTGAATGTTTTGAACAGTTTGAAAGAGTCATGGATACTAAACCTAGAGCTATCGCATCTGGTTTTCCGTTTCTGTAATTCTGAAATGAAAGAGATGTTGATAATTGGAAGCATGAAACCATGATGAGCAATGTCTGAAGTATGGCTTTGATGGGTTTAATTACAAAAAAGGTGTTAGAAAGAGCAGATGTTGGCAAACTTGCTGCTGATGTGTGAACTGAGGAACTGTCATTGGGTTTGGGTGCAGAAAGCATTCATCTAACTGAATTTATAGTTGTAAATGAGATCAGATTTTTTGCTGTGTCTGGTTTGATCAAACATACACGAAGATATGAGCAGTGTCAAAATCAGAAACAAATCACTAAATTGTTGTGGTGCAGTAACCAAATAGATTTAACTAAAGTGAAATTTCTCAGGATCTAGAAAAAAAAATGTTAACCTTTGGTGCTTTAAGAATGTAAATTATGGAAGTAGTGTTAATACTTAGATGCTACAAACAATACCACAGTTTTTCAATGTTCGGGTGAACAAGTGGCAAGGCTCCATGCTATGAAGTCCATCATCAAGTCCCTGGGTCTGGGCATCATTCACAGTCTAAAACACCACAACAACCTGAAGGCATTCCTGCAGAATTTAGTGTCAGTTTTGGCTGCAAAAAGCTTTTGCTTTCTGGATACAATGCATTTATCCAGTGGGTTAGGTGTGCACTCATTCCAAGCTGCATCTAGAACCAAGTTAGATTTTGCAGTTCTGATTCCAGCTTGGAAAAATATAATCCAGTCAAAGACCAGTACAGGAGGTTAGTCAAGTGATACCTGGTGGTTTGAGAGGCAGAAATACATTTTCCAATGAAAGAGATCCAGAAGGAGACAATTAGGTAAAACCAGACAACTTAGAAATGAAATTGAAAAATATTTCCCATAATGTTGCAGAAATTTGACTCACTTTCCCCAGAAAGGTTATGGATACTAGATTGGTTGAAGTTTTCAAGACTGATATTGATAGATATCTCTTGGGTAAACAGAACTGAGGTACAGATTAGGCTTACTCAGAATAGGCTTCCCCTGTGGCCTTGTCTAATTTTTTTTTTCAGACCTTGTATTTATTCTAGTCAGAAAATGCCTTACAAAAGTTAAGCAAATAAAAGTTGTTACAAACAGATTTGATGTTTGTTCCTCTTCACTTGACTGAAATGCTCTTCCATTAGAATTTGACAGTTTCTCACGATTGGTTGTAATTAAGTAGCTTCCAATGTAAGTTTGCTCTTGCTATGAAATCAGCTATTTTGTTGCATCCTAGGAGTGGGATCATATACCAACCATGAGCAGGGATCCAGTCCACACTGGTGTAACAAGGTACACAATTACTACTTAACATACATATTTTTCCAGCTGTGTACCATTTATCTCAGTGTCTTAATGTATGATTATTTCTAAGCAGAGACACACCTGGAGGATAAATTTCCTCCAGACAAAGAGAGCAAACATTTTTAGTCGTATAAGTCTCTGCAGTATTTCATTTAAGTTTTTCTGAATTCTGCCCCTTAATGGAGCACTGAAGACCTTTCTACTTTGGGTTGCTAATTTGAGTATTTGTCAATGCAAACTGAAAACTTGCAAACAATTCCCCCTCTCTCAACCTACAAAACACTTACTCAAATGTGACTTATTTCAAATGACCAGTTAATTCCAACTGTATTGCCAACAGAATGTTGACAGTTGAATTTTTGTGTTTAAACCCTGGTGGCCCTGTGGATAGGATTCTGCAGTTCCACTGCCATGGCCCAGGAATTGTTTTCTTAAAAGGGTTATTGGGGGTGGGTGGCAAACTGGTGTTGAAACCACAACCAGATTAGTCATGACTTTATTCAATGTGGTTCATGTTTGATGGGGCAAATGGTCTGCTTCTAATTTCTAGGTTCAGATTATTCATTCGATGTAATTGAAGCAGGCCAGATAGCTAACACACCTGGGTCTCTGAACGCATCGTGCTGAAAATGCCAAAGGAACCTGCTGAAGAATTTAGATGGGATCCTCTTCCTGCTCGATGTGACAGCCAAACAATTTATAACAAAGCACAGACCCATCGGTGGGGTGGCAGGAAATACTCCCCAGAAAGCACTGACAACTGTATGCATGATAAAATTCCAGAAATGTTAATTCATTATAAGTCGCAAGATAGTCTTCATTTTTTAAAGCTGTAATCTTAATAGCATGTACCTTTCAAAAACAAAAATGCTTAAATAGGAAGGGACAAGACAGCTAAGCAGTAGCTCATCATGATTTATAGTAGTACAGCAGGGGATGAAGAAACAGTTAGTGATTGGAACTCCAAAGAATCCTATACTTTTCTGCTCCTGTTACTCTGCTTAAGTCCATGGGAAACAAAGGAGTGGATAACTAGTGCTCTTTTGAATAACTGCTGTACCACTTTAACTAAAGCATTGCACTATAAAACAGAAACATTATCTTCACAGCTGGAAAATGTGGGGCTTACATAAAGTGCCCACAAGTAAAAGCAAAATCCATTACCAACTGATTTTGACACTGTAGATGCACACCGCCAGCAGTGAAGCAGCTATATCTTACAGAGCCAGTGATCACTAACTTGGAAGAAAAGAAATCTCAAGTAACCTGTTGTGACATCCAGCAGACAACTGCTGACTTTATTGTTGGCAATGACAAGGAAATCCTGACATGCCAGTTACTGAACAAAGTGGAAATTGGTCTTACAGCTCCTAGTCGGTGCAATCAAGAGAGCCAAACGAATGATGCACGCAGGAGAAATTTCACCACAGTATTGGTATCCAGATCTTTGAGGAAACGGTTTGTGATAACCAAACTATGTGGTCAACACAATTTTCCCTGCATTAAACTCTACTGAGCTATCAACATTTATAGGATTTTGCCAAGTGAAACACAGAAAATATCAAAGTGCCTAATGTAAAATATTAATGTTTCACTGTCCTTTTTCAGTAGTTGAAACTACTGGATAATATGAAGTGACAAGTGAAATTGAACAATGAGGTAAAAAACAAGAGCAGAGCACGATTTTGGTTATTCCCAGTTGGTTCAAGTCATCAAGACAGGTGAACGAAAATAAAAGTTAACTGATTCTGTCAGAATCCTGCCTTCATTCACTCAAATCGAAAGAAAACTTTTTCGACACAATGTGAACACTTTGGGTACAGCAAGCCACATACTTCTTAATCGAACACTTACTTAAACTGAATACATGCCTTATGCAAAGTGCTGCTTCGTGTTTCCTCCACGAGGTATCACTTGACACTGCTCTTCCCAGTGTTACCCGAGCGATTTAAATTGATCCAGAGTCACACACACACAGGGTCGTGCATTCTTAACCGACTGTAAGTCAACACAAATGAACAATCGCCTCGATTGCAAGGATTTTAAAAAGGTATTGGACAAAAAAAACACACCGACACTCGAGAAACCCGCGCAGGACCGGGTGAAGCCCACGTTACAAGGCCCCTTGCTGATAACGCGTGTTCTATGTATGTGTGCATTCATTCTCTCACTCACTCTGCACTCACCTCCATGGAGACCCGCCAACCTTGCATGGCGGAGACGCCGAAGTTGTATTTGTCTGTGCATTGCTCGCAGGAGTTCTTCACCGTGTTGGGTTGCGACAGGTAAGCACCCATACTGCTACTGCTGCTTCCCCCCCTTCCTCCTCCTCTTCTTTCTTCTTCCTCCAAGCAGCAGCAGCAGTAGTACCTCCTCCTCCGCCGCCACTACTACTACTACCTCCTCCTCCTCCTGTGGGAGGCGGGGGGGAAGGGGAAGAAAGGGGAGCTGCGGATGGGATTCGATCGGCCTTTTGTTTTCGGTTGGTGAGAGAGGAAGAAACGGGCCGGAGAGAAAACCGTAACGATGCAGGGCCAGCGGAACAGTCTGATAGAGGGAAGAGAGAGATAGACTGTGTACAGGGTGGGAGGTTCAGGGGACGGGGAGGAGAGAAGGGGCTCAGGCGCATGCGTGATGTTTGGGGGAGGGGCGAGGATGGCAGTCGTCGCGCGCCAACCGCCGGTCACCAGGGTAACCGCGGCCTAGCGGGCCCGACCCCAGCGTCCGTCAGCACCAACCAACACCGCTCACCGAAAAGGGAACAAAAAAAAAACAAAACCCCGCGGCCGTCTGGTTATTCCACCCCACTCCTCTTTCCTTAAGAGAAGTTTACTCCTCCCCTTCTCAAAGAAAAACGAACAAATGACGAGAGATCGGCCTTCTGCCTCAGTCTCTCGCACTCACAATCCCTTAGGATTGTACGATATTTGTAAATTTCTATTAATTTCTCGCCCTCCCCACCCCGTCAGTGCTCAGAACTAGATTCACTTCGAACTGATTTTAATCCTTATTTGTGAAAAGGCGGGAGGGAGGGAAGGGAGCCAACAGAATCACAAAACCGGGAAAACGACATGGGGGAAGAGGCCAAAAGCAACCGGGAAATACGTGACATCCAAAGACATGGTGGCTCGCGGCGTCACTTCCTGGAACTGGACGACTTCCTCCATTTTCAGGAAATGACGTCTGCAGAGCGCGGGATTTCGCCCCTTACCGGAAGCGTTTGTGACAGAACGATACTTTGTGTAGCTCCCTGCGTTTAGAAGTATGCGGCAGTTTATACTCAATCTAATTTGTCGACAGTAATTAAGCAGATGAGAGGGACTATGTGGTTAAAGATATGATTGCATTATAAAAGATGCAGAGGGCTCTTGTGGCGTGATGGAGTGTCCCTTCCTTTGGACCAGGAGGCTATCTGTTGCAGAAGTGTGTGGTGGCATCTCTGAAAAGATTGATTAGAAAATAACAAAAAGCAATTTAAGACATCCGAAATTTGAGAACAACTTCTTCCCCACTGTTGTTAGTCTTATGAATGGACCTAACATATGAGTTGATTTTTCTGTGCATCTTGTCTGTAGCTGTAACACAATATTCTGCAATCTATTCTATAATATTGATGTAATTATGTAAGAAATAATTTGTCTAGTTAGCATGCAAAAATACTTTTCACTGTATCTTAGTACATGTGACAATAATAAGCCAAATCAAAAAGCCTGAGCCCAGAGCCTGAAAAAAATAGAAGATGCAGAAGACATTTACCAAGATATTGTCTAGGCTGGAGAGGTTCAGCTATGAAGAAAGACTAGATAGGCTGGGGTTGAGCAGTATAGCTTAAGTTGGGGTGAGGGGGAGTCTGAAGTGTAGTAAGACCTAAGGGATGTACACAGGGTAGATAGGGAGAAGCATTTAACCTTAGTAAAGAGATCAGTAATTAGGGGCACACTTTTAAGTTGAGGAGCAGGAGGTTTAGAGGGGATTTGGGGAATGTTTTTCATCCAGAGTGTTGTGGACATCTGGGACTCACTACCTAAAAAAAGGGTGGTGGGGGTGGGGTCTCTAAAGACATTTAAGAACTATTTAGATGAACACTTGAAACACCATTGCACACAGGTCTCCAGGCCAATTGCTGGAAAATGGGATGAGGATAGATGGCCATTTGATGACTGACATGGACGCAATGGGCTGAAGGGTGTTTTTCCTCATTTAAAATTTTTAAAAGTAGTACAAGACTAGGCAATCATTGAACTCAACTTTAACCCTTGTTTTCCTCTTCACAGACGTGATGTGTTCCTCCAGCACTTTTTTTTTCCTTTGAAAACCGAAAGAACTGCGGATGTTGTAAATCAGGAACAAAAACAGAAGTTGCTGGAAATGCTCAGCAGGTCTGGCAACATCAGAGGAAAATCAGAATTAACATTTCGGGTCCAGTGACCCTTCCTCAGAACTGAGGGCAGGTCGGAAAATGTCGGTTTATATGCAGAAAATTGGGAGGGGTTGGGGTCAGGAGTAAATGATAGGATAGAGCCTGAAGTGAGAGAAGGGCAGTTGGAAAGACAAAGGAGTTAATAATGATCTGGCTGAGAGGATGAATAGTTGTTAATGGGGACTGTTAATGACTAAAGATAGGTAGTATATAATGGCAAGCTATATGATAACAAGGCCTGGTGTGTGGGGTAGGGGGCTAGGACATGGGAGAGTTTAGGCCCTAAAATTATTGAACTCGATATTGAGCCCAGAGGGCTGCAGGGTCCCCAAGAAGAAAATGAGGTGGTGTTCTTCCAGCTTGCGTTGAGGTTCGCTGGAACACTGCAGCAAACCAGAGACAGAAATGTTGGCCAGTGAACAGGGTGGTGTGTTAAAGTGGCAGGCAACAGGTAGCTCAGGGTCCTTTTTGCGAGCAGAACGTAGATATTCTGTGAAGCGGTTACCCAGTCTACACTTTGTTTCCCCAATCTAGAGGAGACCACATTGTGAGCAGTGAATGCAGTAGATTTGCAGTAGAAGTTTTGCTTCACCTGGAAGGTATGTTTGGGCCCTTGCAGAGTGGGGAGGGAGGAGGTAAATAGGCAGGTGTTGCATCTTCACCAGTTGCAAGGGAAGGTACCATGGGGCTGTGTGTGGGGGCGATGTTGGGTGTGAAGGAAGAGTGGACTAGGGTGTCCCGGAGGGAATGGTCCCTGCGGAAGGCGGACAAGGGAGGGGAGGGGAATATGTGTCTAGTGGTGGCATCTCACTAGTGGAAATGGCGTCTGATGATCTTCTGGATGTGGATGCTGGTGGTATGGTAGGTAAGAACAAGGGGAACCCTATCACTGTTGCGGGAGGGAAGAGAAGAGGTGAGGGCAGATGTGCGGGAGATGGGTTGGACCTGGTTGAGGGCCCTGTTGACAATGGTGCTGAGCAATCCTCGGTTGAGGAAGAAGGTGGACGTTGCGGAGGCTCCCTTGTCAAAGTTGGCCTCGTCTGAACATATGAGACAGAAAAACTGAGAGAATGGGATGGAGTCTTTAGTTCCTGCCGGACCTACTGAGCATTTCCGGCAACTTCTATTTTTGTTCCCTTCTTTGTTTTCATTTCTCCAGCACTCACAATATTTTGCTTTTGTTACAGTAAAGGAATGGATTTATTTTTTGGAGAAATTGTATGTTTAGTCCTAGAGGCACAAGCTTTTGAGGTCATTACTGAAATGGTTGGATGTCAGGATGAATGGAGAGTCATATTATGACATAACCCTTTCTTGCTTTGATAGATTGTCAATAATCTGAACAAGGAGCAAGAGTAGGCCAATTGGTCCTGTGAGCTTACTCCACCATTGAATAAGATCATGCCTAATATGATTTTAAACTGAACAGTACATTCCTGCATATCCACGATAATCTTTTATCCCCTCTGTAATCAAACATCTGTTTATCTCTGTCTTAAAAATATTAAAGGTTTCTGCATCCATTGCATTTTGAGAAAGAAATGATTAAGATTTTCAACCCTGAGAGGAACAAAAAAGTTTTTAAAATCTCTTTTAAATGGACACCTGCTTATTTTTAATCTATGACCCTTAGTTCTAGAATCTCCCACAAGAGCAAACATCCTTTCAACATCCACCCAGTCAAGTTCCCTCAGGATCTTTTATGTTTTGATGAAATCACCTCTGACTCTTCTAAAAGAATTATTTAAAAGGATGGAAAGTTGCATTTCAGTTCTCAAGAGCTTCAGCTGGAAGAGATGACAGCAACAAAACTGGAAATTTTTTTTAAAAACCTGAAAATACACTTGTCGGTCAACATTTACAGAGAGAAATAATTAATGTTTTAATTTGATCGTTTATCAAATCCAATTCTGTTTCTGCCTCCACAGATGTTGCCTGATTTACTGAGTAAGACCATTAGACCTGGGTGTAGAAGTAGGCTGTTCAGGTCACCAGCATCATATTGTGTCTGATAATCCTCAACTCCACTTTCCTGCCTTTTCCTCATAATCCTTGATTCCCTTACTGATGAAAAAAAAACTGTCTGTCTCAGTCTTAGCTGGGAGGGTATTTGAGGCATGAAAGCTCACAAATTTTAAAAGTTACTATGATCAGCACTTGAAATGTCATAAAATGTTGATCATACATTGACGTCTGTTTCTGGAAGTTGCTGCTGCATGCAGCCATAAGAAAATGAGAGAAAATGCTTCTCGGAGAAAAAAGCCCTCATCTCTAGGCAACCTCAAACTTTTGAGTAAAGAGATTAGAACTACTCTAGGATTTAAACCCAGGACTGCTTGCTTACAAATTCAGTACAAATCCCTAAGTGAGATTCACCCCAGACTAAAGTTCCTTTGTAAAACTGCAAATATCCATTTTAAAATGAAATGTGGAGAATCAGTCCCTTATATCACAGTAAAGAAATTATATATAGCAAACTGAGAACAGGTTTGGCGATATCAAGATAAAAGGATAATTAATGAGATGGTGCAGATTTAAAATAATCTGCAAAAATAAAGATGATTCAAGCACAAAGCATTTTCATAGGGTGATTGGAATGCACTGCCTGGACATCTAGAGTTAGGTTCAATTGAGGCTTTGAAGAAGGTATGAGATAACAACTTGAATAACAATAAAAAGTAGGAGGAAAATGGCTCATTCGGAGAGCCAGTGTGTTGATGAAGGGCTGTATGGCTTCTCTACTGTAACCAATTTTAAGAGAATTGCATTCATTGACAGTGGCACTCAACAGATCAAACTGAAAATGGTCACTTCAGTTCAGCTCTGATGAAGAGTCATCTAGGCTGGAAATGTTAGCTTGCTTTCTCTCCATGGATGCTGTCTGACCTGCTGTGCTCTCCAGCATTGGTTGTTTTCAATACAGATTCCAGCATCTGCAGTAATTTGCTTCAACTGTCTCTGCCTACCAGACACATGCTACAGAGGTAACAAGATGTAGAGAGCTGGATGAACACAGCAGGCCAAGCAGCATCAGAGGAGCAGGAAGGCTGACGTTTCCGGCCTAGACCCTTCTTCTATGTTCATCCAGCTCTACACCTTGTTATCTCAGATTCTCCAGCATCTGCAGTTCCTACTATCTCTGGAACATGCTACAGAGGTGCTGGTTTTGGACTGGCGCAGACAAGGTCAGTGATCACACGACACGTGAAGAAGGGGTATGATTCCGAAAGCTTGTGTTTTCAAATAAACCTGTCGGTCTATAAGCTGGTGTCATGTAATTTTTGACCTTACCCAGACGCATGAAACTTTCCATCCACTCGTTCCCGCCCTCCCGGATTCCATTGGACGCTGAGCCGTCACTAATATTAATCGGCGGGTATCTATTGGTCGAAGACGTTACCAGGCGGCCGTTGAATCCCTCCAATCGGATCGGGTCCTGGCGCGCGTTAGGCCGTGCCCAAAACGTCATTAGTAACGCGCGTGACATGACCGTTAGTACGCCGCCACGCGCACCTGGCTCTGATTGGTCAATATCACTATGTCAAACCGTCGCTGAGGGGTGAGTCGGCGGTGGTGCACCGCATACCACACGCCTGGCGCTGATTGGTCCGTTCCGACGTCGTTGGTCCGTCACCGGGGCGAAGTGCGTCGTGGTGGCTCGGCACTCCATCACCTCGAGCGATTATTGGCAAGACCCGCTGTCCATCAAAGCGTTGCCCGGTAACGTGGGCGGGGAAGCACGTGCTGCATCCGCCCCGGGTTTCTATTGGTCTGCCCCTCTATCTGTCAAACTGTCGCCTCGGGGGAAGTGGGCGGGGTGGTTTGAGAGCTCGAGCGAATGGAGTCGCTGGTCAGTGGTCGCCATTAAACGTGGGGCTGAGGAGAATTTAACTTCTAAGTAGGATCGAAGGGAAGAAATCGGGCGATCTTGTAGGAAGCTTCCTACATCTTCAATGGTACCCGTCCCAAGAAAGTAGAATTGATTTTCAATCATTCAACAAGGAGTTGTCGGTGTTTCACCTATCCCCGCCCCCTCTCCACTCTCTCCATCCGGTCTCCGGCCCCTGAGTGTCTCTCCTGGTTTTGTGGGGAGAGGGGGGAGATGTCGGAAGGCGAGAAGGCGGCCGCTGTAGCCGCAGTGGCGGACAAGGCGGCTGAGGCCATGAATGCGGCCGCCGAGGTGGACGACGAAGAGGAGGACGAGAGCGAGGACGAGAGTGAGATCCTAGAGGAGAGTCCGTGTGGCCGCTGGCAGAAGCGACGGGAGGAGGTGAGCTCCTTTGAAGACGGGGGGTGGGGGGGATAAGAGGGCAGAGACCCCTTCTGAAAGGGTGATTCGTCCCTCCGCCAGTGTTAACTCGCCTTTAACTGATGCATTTCAAACGCATGTTTCCTCTTTTCTTAAGAAAAAAGAAATGCAATAAAGCTTGCCAGGAGCTTGTGCTTTTTGTATCGCACTTTTTAGTTTACAAGTTGAAGACAGGAAGGATGTGATTGCCCTAGTGGGTTTGCAGAGTAGATTCACCAACATGATGTCCGGGCTGAGCTGGAACGAATCATAGGAGTAGGCCATTCAGCCCCTTGAACCTGTTCCACCATTCGAAGCTGATCTCTGCCCTAACTCCATACACCTGCTTTTGGCCTTCGTACCTTTGCTGAACGAAAAAAAAAACTGCCTCAGATTTCAAACAAACAACTGATCCAGCATCAGCTGTTATTTGTGGAGGAGTGTACCAAACCTCTACCGTCCTTTCTGGGTAGAAGTGCTTCCTAACATCACTCCTGAATGGTCTGGCTGTAATTTTTAGACCATGCTCCTAAGTCCTAGAATCCCCAACCAGTAAAAGTATTTCTTTGTCTGTTAGTATTATAATCTTTGAGTTCACCCTTAACCTTCTAAATTCTAGAAAAATAGGCCTAATTTTTGTAATCTGTCCTCATATCTTAAACCCTGAATCCAGGTATCATTCTTCTAAACCCACAATGTACTCCTCCCAAGACCAGTTTCCCTTTCCTAAGGCATGGTGCCCAGATCTGCTGAGAATCATTAAAGTGAAGTCTAACCAGGGGTTTGTATAGCTGCAACATTCCTTTTGCATCCCTATACTCCAGCTTTCTAGATATAAAGGCCAGCGTGCCATTAGTTGCCTTGATAACTTTCTGCACCCGTTCACGGCACTTTAAAAACACCTGAACTGCAAGTCTCTGGATATCTACTGTATTTAACTTCATACTATGTAGCAAGTACCCTAATTTTTTTTTTGGTCCAAAGTGGATAAGTTCACACATGTTTACATTGAAATCCACCTGCCACAGTTCACCTAGTCTATCAGTATTTAGCTGTGGTGATAGACTAGATAGGTTGGGTTGTTTTCCTTAGAGGTTCCTTTTTATTCATTTACAGAATAAGTGAGTCACTGGCTAGGCCAGTGCTTATTGCTCATTCCAAATTGCCCAGAGGGCTGTTAAGAGTCTACCATTTTGCTGTGAGTCTGAAGTCACATGTAGTCCAGAGCAGGTAAGGATGACAGATTTCCATCCCTAAAGGACATTAGTGAACGATATGGGCTTTTCTGACAATTGATAATGGATTCATAGGTTAACAATCCAGCAATAACACCACTAGGCTATTGCCTCCCACTTTGAGGAAATGCTGAGGGGAAATCTGATTAAGGTGTATGAGGTTCTGAGGGGCATGGATAGGATATATAGGAAGAATCTTGTTTTCCTTAGAGGGCTCAGTAGCCAGGGGCCAAAGAAACTCAAGGTCTTGGAGAGAACGCGGGAACAGTGTACTGAGTGCAATGATCAACTACAACCGTACTGAATGGTGGACTAGGCTCAAAGAACTAAATGGTCTACTCTGGCTCTTATTCTCTGTTTTGGGGGATTTGAGCAATTTCTTTTCGCTCAGCTGGTGGTAGGCATCTAGAATTCACTGCTTAAAAGGGTGGTAGAAACAGGAAACAACCAGATATTGAGGAGTATTAAACTGGATGACTGTGTGATGCAGAATGATGCCAGCAGTGTGGGTTCCATTTCGACACCAGCTGAGGTCGCGATGAAGGTGCCAGCTTTACAATCTTGTCCCTTGCCTGAGGCTTGGTGATCCTCGTTAAACTGACCACTGTGTGCCTCTAATGAAAAAGCAACCCTATGGTCCTCGGGGAGTGTGACGACTTCACCTATTTAGATGAGTGCGTGAAATGCCAGAGCCTACAAGGTTATGGGCCAAGTGTTGGAAAATCGGATTAAGATAGATAAGTACTTGAATGCCGTCATGGACATAATGGACAGGAGGGTCTTTTTCCACACACACAAACTCTGATTCTATAACTTGAAGTAGAATAAGCTGGTGATATAAAACAGACAACTCGGTATCTGTGACTGGTTTATATCTGAACTGTGAAAGCTGTTAATCCGATAAGTAATGCAACTTGCAAAATAGCAAAATTTAGTTGTGAATGTTTCTGCTACTTTTACTTCTGTTTTTCTTATCCATTTTTAATTCCTGTATTAGAAAACTGCTGGCTTGCCAGTAATACATCTTTTACACAGCTAGAGATTGGATTCTGGTGTCATGCTTCTTTTTTCATAGAAGGTGCAGCTGTTTCTCAAGACATGTTTTCTCAACATCTGCCATTTCCATATATAGTCCTCAAAAGCTTGGTATACATGAGAGAGAGAGATTCTATTTATTCCATCAAATATGTAGTGTCAGTTTGGAATGGTGAGGAGTTTATTGGGCTTGAAATTTGTTGATGGCAGATACTCTAGATAGACATGAGTACTGTATTAGGTGATTAAAACTCACGTGTTGAAGTGCTGTTGTGGAAAATTTAATTCACTTTATGCTAATGGAACTTGGTTGGTTGATTGTTTAAAAGGTGATTTATCATTCCATTTCAGAGACTCTGATGCTTTACAGAAGTGACCTTGTGTGTAGTTCCAATTTTGGAAATCCCATGCCACAAAAAGGAATTGACCCATTTATGATCACTGTTTCCTTCCTCTGTAAAGGGTTTATGATTTCTTCCATGCATATGAATTTAAATCAGCTGTTAGCTACAAGCCTGTTAGCAACCACTTCCTCACTGAGTCAGGGTTACGTAAGTATTGTTTCTGAGCTTCTGAACCTGGAGGATCATCTTAACAAAAGACATGAACACTTTGCTGTAACTATTATTCATGCCTTGTCACCACCAAACCTGACTTTGCCAATGTTTTCCCACTTGTTTTTCTCTCTCGTGATCCACAATGGCTTCTGTTTCTCCAGTTTTGAATCCCTGCCCTATGCTATTCGTTTGTGGCGTCATCCTTTCCTAACTGTCACTTCTTCCCGTTCCCCATTTCCAGTTTTTTGAGTTAATACAGAGCTAAGGGCATAGATAACTGATGACACTATTGCTAATGGTAGGGTGAAGGAAGAGACATGGAGGGAGATGACCTGTGTACTGGAGGCCAGAGTTCAAGTAATGTCAAGTTCCTGTATTAGGTGAGGTTATACAAGGGAGCCTCCCATGAAGGGATATGTAAATGAGCAAAAGTAGAAGAAATTGGTGCCACAAGAATGCGGGTCACTCAATCAGACATTGATCGCCCTCCATCATAAGGTCAGAATGGTGACGGGCAGGCATTGGCAAACAATGTTCAGCACCATTTGTGTCTGCTCAGATACCGAAGTAGTTCCATGTTCAGATGCAACAAGATCTGGATGCTCTCCAGGCTTGGGCTGAGAAAGGCCACATAAGTGCTAGGCAATGACCAGCTCCGATAAGACCCGTTGATTTTCAGTGGTATTATCATCACTGAATTCCCCACTATCAACGTTCCTGGGGTTACCATTGACCAAAAACTCAACTGGACTTGTCTCACAAACACAGTGGCTACAAGAACAGGTCAGAGGCTGGTAATACTGTGGAGAGTAGCTCACCTCCTGACTCCCCAAAGCCTGTCCACCATCTACAAAGCGCACAAGTCAGGAGTACGATGGGATATTCCCCACTTGCCTGAGTGCGTGAATCTCCAATAAAACTTAAGAATCTTGTCATCATCCCGGATAAAGTAGTCCGTTTGACTAATACCACATCTACAAATATCTGCTGCCTTCATCACTAATGCTCAGTAGCAGCATTGTGTACCACCTACAAGATGCACTACAAAAATTCGCCAAAGATCCTCAACACCTTCAAAGCCCATGACCACTTCCATTTTGAAGGACAAAGGCAGTAGATTCATAGGACACAAGCACCTGCAAGTCCCCCTGTAAGTCATTCACCATCCTCACGTGGAAATATATTGTTCTTCCTTCATTGTCGCTGGGTCAGAATCCTGGGATTCTCTCCCTCAGGACGTTGTGAGTTAAACTTCAGTATGTGCACTGCAGTGGTTCAAGAAGGCAGCTCACCACCTCCTTCTCAAGGGCAGGTAGGGACAAGCAATAAATGCTGGCCCAAATAGCGACACCCACTTCCCACAAGTGAATTTTTAAAACAAAAAGTCACCTTCAGACTGTGTGGCATCAAAGTGACATAAAATGATTGCTTGGGTGCAGAGTTTATTGGAAGATGTGAAAATGATGCCTTCATCTTTCCCATTGCTGAACTGGAAGAAAATGTGATTTGTCCCGGCTTGGATTTCAGACAAGGATGCTGACAATACTAGGACCATAGTGTGTTCCAGCGATGTTGGATAAGTTGAGCTGAAAGCTATCATTGTACATGTATAATCTGGAGCCCGTCTTCGGAAGATGCAATTGTGATGAAGTTTATAGGTGCTGAATGAGGTGGGGACTGAGGTTGGATATGTTGTTGACTGCTGAGTGAATAAATAAAGACTTTGGCTTCTGTTGCACATTGGTGGAGGGATTCTTGCTGTGGTTGGGTAGTAGTGGAGGAGTAGCATTTAAAGAGAATATGCTGCTTGAACATGTTGAAGACTGTACAAAGGGACACAACCACTGCCACGTGATTTGGATTTATGCTACTTCAGGGTAGGAAGTTATTTGAGGTTCAACTATGAAAAGTTGAGAGGTAATAAATATGCTCATAATTTTTGGAAAGTGGACAAGTTTGCAAGACCAAAAGTGTTGTGTTCCTCTGTTGTTGAAAAGGGGTGATAAAATATCACTAGAAGTTGATTAACACTCAAGGAAAGGGAACCGTTTACAATGTAAGTTGGCATTAGGGCTAAGGAAAGAAATTAGATGGTCACCAGTTTAGTGGGAACACTGCAAAGGGAGCAGAAAGTTGACAAGATGAATAAGATAAG